TCATTTCATTATGGTTGATTTTCTTTACCAATAGAGGTAAAAATTTGGATGTAACAAACTAGATGACAAATCAGAATGAGTCCCTAAATTCAGATAAAGTTTGTTTCACTGTAACTACATTGACTATAAAGGGATTAAAAAAATCTATTAGACTATGGTTCTGGCGTAGTTGCATGCCCATCATTATTTCTTCCTTCCCAGGATAATGGCACATCGTGGTTAGAGTGTTAATAGATGATTTTGCCTTCCAGAACGGTTTTCCTTTTTGATCATAAACCCCTTTGAAAATCTGATTCAAATTGGGAATCCCCACCTCAAAAGAATCATCCATCCTACACGTGTATACCGCACACACAACATTTTGTCTATTGGGTGAGTCAGGACCTGCCCGTGTAAAACAGTTCTCTGTGTGAGGCAGTATGGGAATTCGTCTGTGATGCTCACTTCCGTGTTGGTTTCTTGCTCTTGAGAAGCCTGACCTGAGTGATCCAAGAAATCAATGAAGAGATTACAGTAGTACAGTTGTATGTATGGAACTTATTAAATTCAGCAAGAACCTTTATAAAGTCTTCTAGGTATTTCTGAGTGCTGCCCCTTTCCATTCAGTCTAATAAACGAGAAAGACCAATTTTAGGGTGGGTCATTTTTCTTGTAAAGTTGGCTGAGAGTCAACTGTTCTCTAGGATTCAAGTGCAAATATACGAGAGTGAGGTGGACCCAGAGCAGTGGAGACAGTTCCTCATTTTCTGCACAAGTGAATATTATTTAAGCAATACATGGATTTCAAAGTGGGGTTAAAATAGAGTAGATAGTGGAATTTTGTGGTATTTTGCAGAAACATAAGGGTTAAGAGAGCTCCATGTAGAATTTTGGCTTTGAGGACTCATACTTCTGGTGAAGTTGCCTTCTCTCCATCTTTCTTCTGAATTCTTGAGAGATGCCAACCATGGTGTTTTCTTCCTATTGCTAATTGTCTTAACCGGTTAACTGCCATGATATTTTGAATTTAATGAAAAAAGGTCTGTCGCTTGTGTCTACAGATGCTTATGGCGTACAAATAGTTAACTCTGAAACCTGTCGTTCACTTCTCAGACCTCTCATAAATGTTGGGACTCTTCCTCATCGCTATCCTGAGCAGCTTTCCATGATCCAGGCTTTACAAAATGACAAAGTAGGAACATTATCACCACCTCGTCCAAATTCAGTACGAAAAATCTTATGTTCCATTCACACTTAAATTATTGTAAAACATAAAGGGTGCACCAAAATAATGCTGTGATTCAAGATGAGTGGCATTTGTGCATACATTTGCTCAACAGTATTTTTCGTTCACTTTGTGTATCAAAGCATTATTACTATGGCCATATGCTAGACCAGGGAAGTCATTTCACTGTGTAAAATAATATGTTAAATGGCCATTTTTTGCATTTTTTAACATGTAGCAATGATCTTGATGTTAGGACTTTTTTTCCTAGGGTGTAATTGATAACCAAATGAAGTACAAACTTTATGAAATTCCCTGTTAGTAGAATAAAGGATCATTTTATTAATTTGCTATTTCAGATCCCTTTAGCTTGAACCTAGTTAACCAGTCCAATCTGAGTCCCACAATTCTCTATAATTATCTTACTGCTTACCATATAGTCTAGCCACAGGGAACTGGCTTTATGAAGTGCCCATTCAATCTCTGATCATGAGATCCTTGAGGTCTGGACTTGTCTCTGAATCCTCATTGGCCTATTGTCAAACTTGAGCCACATCATGTTTTTTTTTTTGTTTTTTTTTTGTAATATATTTTTATTGATTTCAGAGAGAAAGGGAGAGGGAGAGAGCGATAGAAACATCAGTGATGAGAGAGAATCATTGATCAGCTGCCTCCTGCATGCCCCCTACTGGAGATCGAACCTGCAACCTGGGCATGTGCCCTTGACTGGAATCGAACCTGGGACCCTTTAGTCCGCAGGCTGACACTCTATCCACTGAGCCACACCAGCTAGGGCCACATCATGGTTTTAAGTAAATGAACAGAGTGAATAATTGGGGTATGCTCTGTGTATACCCTTGACCTTTGTTTGCACAATATTCATTAAGTATAAATCCTACAAGTCCCCCACCAAGAGCAATATAAACAGTGTCTCCCAAGGACCTTTAGTGAACTTTCCAGTTTCTTCTGAACTATTAATAATAACATCTTATATACAATTTTTGTATATACTTACCAGTTGACCATGTATAATATAATCACTTTGATAGAGGCCTTATCCGATTTCTTCTATAGGCTTTTGTGCCAGTTAGTTTTGAATACTCTACTGCAGGTGTTAGGCATTCTTCATCTTCATCTGTTAGATGGGGACTATGTTATCTATACCGTGGGTAGGTACCAGGATCCAGTGAGATAGGGTATATAAAGAACAGTTGACACTCACTGTGGAAAGAACATAGAGCCGGACACAAATTGATTCTCAGTACAGATTCTGATTCTCCTCTGTCTCCTCACCTGACTCTGAGCTAAGCTCCTAGAAGGTAGGAGTTGATGTTTCTTTTTCCCTACCAGCAGTGCCTCACAAGTGCCTTAATCTTAATAGATCCCCAAGGGTATGTTGAATTAACGAACAGAAATTTGGAACTTCTTGCTAATAGTTTTATTTATGACACCTGTTTAAGATTCAAAGTTAGATTAGTAGACATTGTAAAAATTAAAATAGAATATCTTGGGTATTTGTGTTACTTAATTCTTGGCCTTCATCCAAAGTTTACATAACTCTAGATGTTTACTTTCTAAAGAGTATAACGTGTTAATTATCCTGAAGAAGTTCCCCGGATGTAAGTTTTAGTCTGGTGGTTGCATCTAGCATCCTCTCAGCCAACAGAACTTGAAGTATTTTCGGAAAACTATAAGTTCCTTAAAAACGCAGTCCAGGTTTAAATGATTTGAACTCAGATTCTGATCTCACTGAATTGAATCGTATTGTGACAATAAAGATAACGCCTGCCTCTGTTTCTGCTGCTCATCTCACTTTGAGAAATGTTTCAAGTATACGGATTGGGTACATTTAGAATGTGAAGGAACCTAAGAACAAGCCCCTCACTTTTTACTCAAAATTTAAAAGATGTGATAATATGTGAAATTAGAGGCTTTTATGTTTGGGGAGAAATTTATCAGTTTTTATAACTGATAGAAAATCTCTTTCTAGTAGTTAAGTGGTTAGTGAATGTTGAAAAAGAAATGAAATTCCTGGCTTCCCTTAATGCTATTGACAGTTTTTATATTTTCAAAAACCAGAGCAGCGAAAACAAACAAATCAGAGCAGCACTGCCAGCGATTAGCAGTAGAGCACCGTTTCTAAATGGGCACACCGCTGTGTCCATTCTTATTCCTTTCTCTAACAAAGTATTTCCCCACCCAACCCACTCCCCAAAAGACCCAGAGTACGAGCCAACTTCAGGTTGTAATGGGGGCAGCGGCCTTCTTAGTTCTGAAGAAATTTGCACGTTCTTTTCCTGCACATGCTCTGCATTTCCTGAGTGGCTGTCTGTCTGTCACTGTCCTGGGTGCTGTGGGATACAAGGTGGATGTGCCTCAGTTATTCCCGAAGCTCACAGGCCAGATCGGCTTCTTACATCATGTTCCCTAACACTCCCTACCCAAGACATGTTAAGAATTATTCTGTGGATAATAGTAAATGCTTTATCTCCATCTGTTAACGGGATCAAGAAGTCTTTCAATTAGAAAGCAGTTTAACTTTTTAACATCCAATATTTTCTTAGCTTGTTTGACCACAGGATCCTTTTTGTGTGTCACATGTTAGTGTCGCAAGGGCAGCAAATGCTGCACAGCACGTGCTTTAGGAACCTAAAAGTTACACACGGTATTAAAAAGTATGACTTTTTGTGATGAGATGGGTGCTATGAGCACCGGGGAGAGAGTCGGGGAAGTCTTCATGCAAGTGCTTACATGTTCACCCAAGTGTGGAATGATGAGTGTACAGAGGAAGTGGAAAAGTTGCTAAGGGTGAGGCAGAGAAAACAATGGGCAAAAGCATGAATGTTTGACAGAGCAGTGTCTGCGGAAACGCCAAGCAGTCCAGTATTAAACCAAGTGGGGGAACAGGCTCTACAGAGAATGAGTCAGCCCACAAAGTGTGTAGAAGCTTTGACTCGCTTGAGTGGTCTGTAAGCAGGGAGTAGTCAATTTCTGAATTTCTCTCATGCTTTATATTTAAAGCTAATTCTCCAGAGGGAAAAGAAAATTTCAGATTTATAACAAACTGCCAAAAATAAGACAAACTATTATGGCTGAATCATCTACCAGGTGCTATTTTTTGAGTTCTTAAGTTTATTTAATGATCTTTTTTTTAAAAAAATTGAGTCATCTATGAACATTTAATAGAGTACATTAGGAATGATGAAGCAGTTTTCCTTTGTAAAAGTATTGAGTTAACTAATTTCTGCTTTGAAAGCAGTTGTAGGAGAATCATCACATGTGAAGCAGAACAATGGATGTCATTTTTATATTTTTAAATTTAAGATTTAACTGAGCTTTCTCCACCATCATTGATTCTCATTGGAAAATATTGGGATGTATAGAAAAATTCTTTGTAAACATCCCATTTAAATCCTGTAATATTCCAACCAGTGGCTGTACCATTGTTTGGATAGCTATAGATAGTCTTCAGTTTTTCTAACCATGCTTTTATATGATTTTACATTTCTTTGTTATGATAAATGTTTTGTATATTATAGTGCTAGAATTGGAATTATTGGGCCAAAAGTAGGAATATGTTTAAGGCTCCACTGGGAATTTATCACAGTGTTTATTTCATTAGGTATTGAGGACAATCATTTAAAAAAAAGACAAAAATCAGAAAGGAAACTTTGTTGGCTCAATAGTTTAAAAATATGGACACGTTGTTTGGTTTGAGGTTTTAACAGTAAGTGGTAGTTCATACTTTTTAATACTGTGTGTAAACAAAGGTAAGAATTTTCTCTTTATTTTTGAGGTATCCATCACGCATTGAAAAAATCGACTATGAGGAGGGCAAGATGTTGGTCCATTTTGAGCGCTGGAGTCATCGCTATGACGAGTGGATTTACTGGGATAGCAATAGACTGCGGCCCCTGGAGAGGCCCTCGCTGAGAAAGGAAGGCCTGAAGGATGAGGAGGATTTCTTTGTAAGTAGCAAGCTCTTCATTTGCTAGATGTGTAGTCATCTATTTAAAAGGAATTCTGTTAAAGTTTGCAGAAGCTTGTTTTTATTAAGGAAACACTTATTTATTATACATGGTATTGATCTGAAAAGTTGTTTAAACTAGGATTTTAAAGCCGGAGAAGAAGTTCTGGCTCGGTGGACAGACTGTCGCTATTACCCTGCCAAGATCGAAGCAATTAACAAAGAAGGTATGTATCCGAAGTGATCTGAGATTTAAGATGGGATTAACAGTAGCATTTTAACTATGCTGCTAACTTTAATTAATGCCTAAATAAGCTGTTTAAATTAGTAGAGGTAAATATAGTTGGTAAAATTTTTTCAGTTTTCAGTTCATAGGCTTAAGTTGTATGCTTTTTATTTCAACTTCTCTGTTTTCCATTTGTTGTCTAAGCTAATTTTAGATACTCATCTCAACCAGAGAGTGATGAAGAGTTAGAGGGAAATTCAGATCAGTTCAACTTGGAAGTGAAATACTCTGCAATATTTGCTTAGGAAAGAGTATGGAACTTCAGTTTGAGGCTTTCCTTTATTCCTTCTTTCCCTTGTACCATTTTTCTTAATTTTTTATAGATAATTGAGGGTTAATTTTCCTCATAGCCTTTTGTAGTATCTAATATTGATACTGAGCAAAAGTTACTGAGATGATCAGAAATGTTGAAAATAACCCAGAAATCAGGTGTGGTAGTGTGTCATAAGACCCAGTAAGTTTGTTGTAAAGATAATGAATTTAAAAAACAGAACTCATAGGGTGATTAATTTGAAAAGGAATGAGAATATTTAAATCATTATTGGAAATATACTTATTTTATTTTTTAAATTTCTTATTTAAAAATAGCCTTTAAAACAGTTGTGAAATACTTGTAAGTAGATCTCTCAAGTCGGTAGTACATTAGTTTTTCCGTTACAATTATTTCTTAAACTTGACCACTCATTCTTTTTACTAAAGAAGCACACATTGTGTGACAGCTTCTTTGCACGAAGGGCATTTAATCTAAGTAAGGGGACACTTCCTTTCAACTGGATTTGAAAGGCAAGCAAGGAAGCCAGTTACAGGGAACGAAAAGGCCTTTCTGGCGGAAGAAATGGTGCATGCGAAAGAAAAGACGAAGCATGCGCTGTTGGGAACCGGTCTCTGACGTGACTGGAGTGGAGGGTTCCTTTACGGGGAGAGGGTAGCAGGGGAAGAGGCTGGAGAGAGAAGCAAGGATAGGTATGTGTGTCTTGTAATCTTGCTAAAGAATTAGAACTAAAAAAAAGAAGTAAATTGGAATTTTATTTGGAGGTGATGGGAATGATGGAAGAGAGCTGAGGTTTTAAACTAACAACAAATGAGAAAAAATAGGTAAGAGAAGATAGAAGAGGAGAACGTTTAAAAAGATCTATCAATGTTAGGTGTGAAAAAGTAAGTCATAGTCATCCAGCTAGAATTTATGATTATAACTTTACAAAGGTCTTATTCCAATGTATTGTCTTAATGAGTTAAAGTAACAAACATGGCTCTGATTTCATTACCTCTAGTCACCTTTCCACAGGAAGAGTTGAGGGGACATCACAGTTTTGTGGGTTCCTTCTCCTGCTCTAGTGGGGCCTTTATTGCACTGTGTACTTAGGCTTCTGGAGAGCTCTGTTGCTGGGCTCATGTTCCCATGTCTTACACATGTGGGCTCCTCAGGGGTCAAGTACAGAGCCCAGTGCGGAGGACGCAGTCAGTAACAATTTGTGGACGGAAAGGGAGAAGTAGTGAATCAGTCCTGTCGGATAATGGTGTCCACCCAAAACAAGACAAAACGTAGTAAACTTAGACTATGCTTATTTATTAAGAGTGGTTTCTTTGAGTGTGGTGAGCCTTGGGATCTTCCTTCCATGCTTAAAGCTCCCCGGGGATATGCATACCCAAGTGCATGCATACACACACCTACAACATACTCCTTGTCCGTGCGCATGTGTTATAGAAAGTTAAGCTCACATTAGTGGAAGAGTGATGATACAGATTGCAGTTTCTGCTATTTTAGGAGCAGTTTAAGTGAGACCTTAGAAAAGCATTGGCAGATATAATTTATTTATTTTTTTAAATCATTGCTGCCACCCAGCTGGTGTGGTTCAGTGGTTGAGCATCGACCTACGAACCAGGAGGTCACGGTTCCATTCCTGGTCAGGGCACAGGCCTGGGTTGCAGGCTCGATCTCCAGTGTCGGGTGTGCAGGAGGCAGCCAATCAATGATTCTCTCTCATCATTGATGTTTCTATCTCTCTCCCCCTCTCCCTTCCTCTCTGAAATCAATAAAAATACATTTTAAAAAATCATTGCTGCCTTTTGACCCAGTGATCCTACTTCTGGGTATATTCCTAAGAATCCAAAACACCAATCAGAAAGAACATATGCACTCCTGAGTTCATAGCAGCGTTATTTATAATAGCCAAGATCTGGAAACAGCCCAAGTGCCCACCAGTAAATGAGTGGATAAAATAGCTGTGGTGCATTTATACAATGGAATACTACACAACTGTAAAAAAGAAGGGACTCTTCCCTTTGTGACAGCATGGGTAAGATGATTTTGCTAAGAGAAATAAGCCAGTCAGAGAAAGACATATGATCTCTCTAATATGTGGCATCTAATGAACAAAATAAAGTGACGAACAATATAGAACCAGAGGGATGGATACGTGGGACAGATGGACAAATGTCAGAGGGGAGGAGAGTACTGGATAAAGGAAGGTGAAAGGGTTAGCCCATGGACAGACAGCAGTGTGGGGTGGGCCAAATGGGGGGGAGGCAGGGGCTGGGTAGAATGGGCAAAGAGGGGAAATGGGAAACATCTACAATAGTGTCAATAATAAAATTTAAAAACAAAAGTAAAAGCAAGGGAATGAAAAATGATGACTAGGTAGGATCTCTCTCAACAGCCAGTGGGAGCTGCCCAGGGCTTGGAGCCGCACTTCTCTTGGGAGCAAGGGACGGGCTGAGCCATTCAAACTTAAGATAAACCTGACTTATCTTCTTTGAAGAAAATCACATTGGCAAATTTAGGACCAGAATATCTACAACAGAAGATCCTAAATGAACTATGGTTTAGAAATGACATTAAAAAGAGAATTGTAGCCCTGACCAGTTTGGCTCAGTGGATAGAGCGTCAGCTTGTGGACTGAAAGGTCCCAGGTTCGATTCCAGTCAAGGGCATGTACCTTGGTTGCAGGCATATCCCCAGTAGGAGGTATGCAGGAGGCAGCTGATCGGTGTTTCTCTCTTATCGATGTTTCTAACTCTCTATCCCTCTTCCTTCCTCTCTGTAAAAAATCAATAAAATATATTTAAAAAAAGAGAATTGTAGAACACATGTAAAAACCCGAAAACCTATATACTTGTGTATACACACATACATGCTTTGAAAAAGATCTTTAAGGGTACATACCAAATTATTAAGTCATTACTAATTACTAACCCTGAGAAGACGGAAACTTTAACTTTCTCCTTTCACATTTCTGTATTATTTGATGTTTTAAATAGTACTTTTGTAATTAAAAACAAAATGTAGAAAAGTCCTAAAGAAAAAGAAAATCTCCCCTAGATGAACTTATTTCATGATTTCTGTAGCCCCACGTGTTGGATGAGCCTGCTCCTTCACCCCCCAATAAAAGGAAAAAGGAAAAAAAGGCAAAAGGAAGCCCTCTATTCACTGTAAAGGCTTCACAGATCTAAACAGATGTGGACTTCCTAAGTGTTTGTAATGTGTCTTAAAGAGGAGACACATCAGGCTAGACAGCGGTCAAGGGTATTTTCCTAGGAGGGTGGGATTTGAGGGGCTGATGCGTGAAGAGTGGGCTGGGGTTAGGAAAGGGGGAGGCGTACAGCAGAGGGGACGGTGTGAGTCACGCAGGGAAGGAGCGGGATGCACAGTCATGTCGGGAGGGGCCTGCTCTCATCGGGAACGGGAATGCCATGTTGAAGACGGAAGAGGACAGGCGCAGGAGGAGGTAGTGTAAGGTGAACGTGTGGTGTGGCATGCTCAGAATTTTCCGTCTTTATCTCCTTGCTATTAACTGCTTTTTTTCATAACTTGGGTTTAGATCTTTATATCTGCAATATTGTGCATTATGCTAATTATAGGAGGATATGAAATTCAAATTATATTTTAAAAAAATCTTTGCACATATATGTCATTGGCTTTGTGCCAGCTTCAAAGCCAGTAATACCAATTATCACACTTATTGTTTATATTTCTTTTATAAAGGCCAAGTGTCTGTCTGCTTACTTAAAAGTGGCACTCATCTCTCACTTGTACAGGAAATGATAGGAAACTACTGGAATTTCTGTTTTCTAATAGTACTGACTTTTATTGGCTTGTAAGCATGTAGTCTGTTACAAGAAGTCAGTGTGCGTTGTAACATGCAGTCGAACCTGGAGTCCTTAGGAGAGGACGCGGTAGTGGGAGAGGCCTGGGGCTTGGGGTTATGGCAGTGCTGCTGCGAAGCTGACACGGGATGAGCATTTGGCCCCTCGGAGGCTACAGGGTTAATCTGAACTGGAGGACTTTTATGTCAGGGATCTGTAGAGTATTTTCTAGCTTAAAAGCCTATAACTGTAATTCTTACTTGCTAGTGCATTGTTGCCAAAGAAATGATTATTTCCTGAGAAAATGGCTTTTTCACATATCACATCTTTTTGTCTGTTCATTGGAAAGAGACTGAAAGAGAGCAATGTTTATAGAAATATTTTACATTTTTGTAAATGATTTTAGTCCAAGTATAACACATCTAACATTCTTTAAACATATATTTATTACAAAGTAAACTTGACAGTCCTTCAGTAAAAATGAGAATTACATGCAACTAACTTATCAGGATTCAATTTGTGTACTTTTCAAAGGGAAAGCAGAGGTGTTATTAGAGGGGAAGAGAAAATCAGCGTAATAAACTTGACAGAGTTCTAAACTTGATAGTATGTTCGCAGTCATGACGAGCACAGATACTTATTTCTGTCAGGCATTACTTGTTAGATTTCATGTGTTGTAAGATGGAATTATGTTTTCTAATGACTGACTTGCTCCTATTGCAGGGACATTCACAGTTCAGTTTTATGATGGAGTAATTCGTTGTTTAAAAAGGATGCACATTAAAGCCATGCCTGAGGATGCTAAGGGGCAGGTAAGAGTGTTCAGTGTTCCCAAAGGGATGTCTTCTGGAATGGTGACTGATCAAAATATACATATATCTATTTAAAGTGAACTAATTGTAGGATTATGTGCTGATAGCCCCAAATAGCAGCAAGAAAAAGAAGTTAGAATGTAAATTATACACTTGATTTTTGCTCCTTTGGCTTTAGATCTGCTAAAGTTATAGGTCACTAGTTTCTGTTCCAGGTGAAATCCCAGCATCCACTAAGCTGGTGTTGTCCTATCGACCCAGCTGGATCGTGTAACCAGTCTATGGGAAGTGAGGTAAGTGCCTTTTTTTAACTTCATTTTGTTTTTCCTGGTGTATAGTATCATTTAGAAAGTTAAATTTTCATATACAATTTTATATTGAGTTTCGTATCTTCTTCTTTCCTTCTATGAATCATAGTCATTAGTCTTGTTAAAAGGCGCTTACCTGACATTCTGTAGGCTGCTTCGGGCAGGGCTCTCTGAGCCATGCTGTGAGCAGTGTGTTACATGGCTTGGCCCTGCTCACAGCAAGGGTGCGCGGTAAGCCTCTGAAGGAGAATTAAAACCAGGAGTCCATTGGTTGACTGTTTCCTGAAATACTGGGAAGACAAGGTGCCAGTAGAAGTTTAAAGTATTTTCTTTTAAGTTCTGCTGTTATTTGGGTTTTTCAGCACCTGGACCTACAATTAATTTTTAAGAAATTGAAAGTAGGCTGTGACAATGTCTCATATGGAAGTACCTTTTATGCTACATATTTGTTCCATGCCATGAGTGAAAAATGTCCTGAAATGCATTGAAATCACCTGGTCAGCTCCCCTCAGGGGTGTACATGTGGTCATCTGCAAACGTAGACCAACACGTTAAAAATGATTTGTGATATCTTCTTAGAAGTGAGATTGTGTTAATCACCTGGTTTTCAAAATTTTGCTTTTGAAATGATCAGCTAGCAGATTTTTTTCTTCAATTAATATGAAATGCAATTTAAAATGGAAATGCTTTGATCAGTAAATTGCTTTGTGTCTTTCTACATGTATGTATAAATAAAATGTTCTTCTAAGCACTCAGTGGTGTGATTTCTTGGTTACTGCATAGAAACATGGAGTAAATGTGAACATACTCAATATATACACGTTTAATTAAAATTCTCTCGTGCTTTTTTTTTTTTTTTTTTTTTTTTTACTCCTCTTTTTTTTCATTCTGGTTATTTAAAAGTTTGTGAGATGGCCCTAGCCCTAAAACTTTATTTTCCCCCAAATTGAAACATTGAACCAATTTGGTTTGCGACAAAATTGCAAGTTGTAAAAATTAACTTAATGAATGTACTGGATATTTAGTTGAAGTATTTTAGTCACATCATGATGCAAGTTAATATTAAAATAAATGCCAAAATACAAAGTTCTGAAAGAAAATATTGGCAGCAGTATATTTTCTTTAAATTTTCTTCATAATTTTAAATAACAAGCACATTAAAATAGTTGTAGAATTGTTTTTAATAAAATTATCTTGTTTTAGGAGTCATTTTCCCAACAAGTTTTTGACTTGTTTTCATCAAGGGAATTTGCTAAATCAGATGTATGGGCAATGCTGCGAGAATCCAACCTTGCGTATTCTCTTCACATGTTGAATACTTTGAGAATTCCTTAGGAAGATATTCAATACAATTTCTTTTACTAAACTAGCAAATAAATGCACTATGTAAATGCCCATCCCTAAGCTTTCTCTAGGTTTTTCTCTCGTATAATTTTTTCTTCTTCAGTGGGTATTGATAAAGAATTTACATGTAACTCACTAGTGTTCAGGATTGGTTGGCTCTTACAGTCTTCTTACTATTTTTTAAACCTACTTTTCATACATTACTTTATTGGGTATTTTGTGGCAGATTCTTTGACGTAGATATGCTGATGGTTCTGTCTCACAGCTGAGGAGTTCCGAACTTAGAGAACTTAGCGACTCACTTAAACTCACTCAGCCATCATGTGCGGAGCCTCCGAGCTCAGGCCTGCTTTCGGACATGCTGGCCCCAGCGGCCTCGCGCCCCTCCTTCACGGTGTCTGCGGAGAACTTCGAAACACATCGTTAGTTCTGGTCATGGAAAGATCACTCCAGTTATTTCTGATAGTGAATCTTTCCCATTTCAAACCAGAAGAGCAAAATAACGAGAGAATTCCTTAATCACAGAACCGCAGTGGTCCCATGATTCACATGTCATAGGATCAGGAACCCCTTTTCAGCTCTGCTTTCAGTTGTAAGAGGAACAACTTGAATTTCGATTTCTCCTAGTTTTTCTCTTTACTGGAGATGGAAAACCACTGGGGATGGATTGCATCCTGGCGTTTTTCAGCATTTCTCGAACAACTTAAAGTTTTCCCCACAGTGTGGAGCCCCAGATTAAATGACCCGCCCTTAGTAAGTCTGCAGACACGTGCTCTCTGCTGGGATAGCACTTTCTCTGCTTGTCTGGTCGCACTGACTCTGGTTTCTGCTTCCGCTGTGGCTCTGTCTTTCAGCCTCCTTCCCTCCAGGCTGGTGCTTTCTTTTCTTTCTCTGCTGCTTCACTGTCACTCCCAAGGCTCAGCTTCGCATCGCAGCTCAGTCTGGCCCTAGACCCCTCTTTCACCTCCTGTGCGCTCTGTGCCGTGCCGCCTGTGTGCCGTGGCTTCCCTTCTGCGTGGGGTGCCCGTTTTCTTTTCCGCCGCCCCATTCCCAGCAAAGTCCACTTCAGGGTTCAACCGGCATCACTTTCCCTGTCGCCTTCCACTAGCCTTCCTCTTCAGTCAGAATTAACCCTTTTTGTCCTCCCAGGGTCGTTGGTTTATTCATAACTCTACTGTCTCTGCTGTCACACTGTCTGCTGGTTCATTTTATTTGCCCGTCAATTTCTTATGGACAGGACCCCAACCAAGGGTGGTCCTAGGTAAAATGGGTTGGGCAGTTCTGGTGCATCTGTTTTTTTAACTAGAAACATAAACCTCTATTTCACAATTTTGTCCTAATTCGCTTTCTAATGAGATATGTGCTGGGGACATAGTTTAAATACTGGGAAAGCTAAATGCCTGCTGGTGTTTTCCAGGTAGGAAAGGATGTGGTCACTCCAGGGCCCATGTGTTCCTGAGGCTTTCAGGCAGCAGCTGCTGAGTACTTAGCATGCTTCCCAGCACGTGTGGGGGGTAGCCAGTAAAATATTGGTGAATGAATATGCTAGGTACAGTCCCGTGCTGTTCTCAGTTCAGCTCAGTCAGGCGGGAGGTAGGCACCTCGATTTTGTTTGTTTGTCTTTAGTGGCTTATTGCCCTCACCATGTATTTTCAAGACTGAGCAGCCATCAACTTGAATTGCTAATGACCTATTTTGTATAATTCCAGTTAAATGCATTTGATGCTGTGAAATTGTTTTTGGTTGCTTGGACTAAGAATTTAATTACCCATTTGGGTTGAATCTGAACTGGTCTCGTTGACAACTTAGCAGTTCTCAGAGGAAGGGTTAACTCTCTAGAGATACTACAAATAGTTCTTTTTTTAAAAAAAATAATTTTTGATTGCAAAAATTTAAATATTAGTACCACTTCTTTACATCTTTCCATATTTCCCATTATAAGCATTTTTAGTTAAAAATAAAAGAACAAAATTATTTAGCAACAAACAACAAATACAGGAAAAATAAATATTTGCATCTCAGAAGATGGCAGCTAACACAGGCCCAGGAAGTTGTAGAGGAAGAGAAATGAATCTGGAGCCTGAGCGTGTGGACTTTACTTTGGTCAAGTCAAGTAGCTCTTTTAAAAAAAATTCACTAGGAATATAAAGCTGCTGTAATAAGTTGGTGTCTGAACTTTGAAAGCTTTAAACGTTAATAAAATCACACCTTGATTGCTATGAAATTGACCATACTTTGAGTGGAACATTCGTCTTAATAAGGAACACTACTCAATAAAATACATTTATTTTAATCTTTGCAGAATTGCCACTTAAGCATTTTTCTCATTTCTTTTATGGTCTGTTACATTACAGAAAAGAATTGTAATTTCACGTTTGAACCCTGAAGTACTAAGGCAAAATGTCATGTAGTATTCCATATTTGTCATAGGTTTCTTGTTATTTTAGATTTTATTCCTGAGAAAATATACCAAAGGAACATTTTTTTGTTATTGAATATTTTTCTATTTTATATAAAGTTATAAACCCAACTAAACCGTTCAATTATTCTGTAATCTACCATGTTGATGCACCTTATAAATATAGTTAAGTAGATTTTTAAATTTGTGTGCGTGTGAAGGTAGCTTTGAAAATGTGATAGATGTTTTTACTCATTAGTGTAATTAAATTTTGATTAATGTTTAATGCTTCACATGTTTTGTGTTTTTCCTTTGGAGGATTGGATAGCTTTAGTCAAAGCAGCTGCTGCAGCCGCAGCCAAGAATAAAACAGGGAACAAACCTCGAACGAGCGCTAACAGCAGTAAAGAGAAAGAGAAGGATGAGCGGAAATGGTTTAAAGTTCCTTCAAAGAAGGAAGAAACTCCAGCTTCTGTAGCCACTCCAGAAGTTGAGAAGAAGGAAGATCTGCCCACGTCTAGTGATACATTTGGTATAAAACACGTTCTTACATTTAGTCCTTCGTCACCTAGTGAATAATGAACAGATCAAACCCCTTGGCTACCTATAATTTGAACATATAGTTAAATTATTAGGCCTTTCCCCCAGCACAGTATGGTGGTTAACTTGTAGCATTTTACAGATTTGAAAATTAGTGGTCTAACATGGGTACTTGATAATGGATGCCCTCAATATTCTTGAATAGAAATGAGTTAAGATTTTGATTTGTAACTTATTGGTAGTAGGTGTTTGGGTTTTTATTTGTTTTATGTTTCTAAAATATCTTAAATACTCTGCAAGTATCTCAGTATATAATATGGAAAATGCGGCCAGCCATTCTCTTCCTGCTTTTCTTTCCTGAAGAATAACTGCTTAGTAGTTCTTACTTTTAATATGTCAATCTGTAGAGATTGGTGGGTGTTGTTTTTTTTTTAAGTTTTATGTTAAGCACTAGATTAAAATTCAGTGCAGAGCATTTTTGCTATTTATTTTTAAAAAATGGTGTGTTTTAACTTTGGATGCTATATAAACCCTCATATATGTGTTCTGTTAAAAGTAGGACTTCATGTGGAGAACGTTCCAAAGATGGTCTTTCCACAGCCAGAGAGCACATTGTCAAACAAGAGGAAAAGTAATCAAGGCAACTCGTTTCAGGCAAAGAGAGCTCGGCTTAACAAGATCACTGGTAAACTACAATGATTCTTGGGGGGTTGGCGGGCTTGATCTCAGAGAGGTTTGTTTGTAATAAAGCCGAGTATCTTGGGGGGACATAATTGGTTAATTAGAAAGACAGCTCCTCTCTGGTTCTTCAAGGTCAGCTTTTTTCAAAACTGGCAGCTTTTTGTGTTGCGTAATGTGAAGCGATCACCTGTCTTCTACCTACCTCACAGGGGTGTTGTGAGGGTCCATAGGATCAAAGTTACCAAATCCCAGTCTTCAGATCACCTTGATGGTAGGAGTAGTTCCATAAGAATTGAATTGTCTGCTTTTGTCAGCCTGTGGTGATACACTGTCTGAGGTTCTAAATATTTTACATTCTTACTCCATCAGTCTCATTAAACATGGCACCGTATGTGGTTGGAAAGGTGAACGCTGAAGCTGTTAATTTCCAATGTAAAAGTATCTGTACGTTTTTAAAGTTTCTATCCTTAGGTTCCGGTTGGTCTCTAGAATCCGGTCCTATTTCTCCATGCTTTGTTGTAATTTAGGAAGCGGAGTGTTAGAGCGGTGAAAAATACTGGAAACCTGGCCTGGTTAGTGTTCATAAAAGGAGGGATTTAAGTCCTAGAATTGGGGCCAGTCGTGCTAGGCACCATCCCTTGTGAGGCCCATTCAGCCCAATGACTGTAGTCTTTAAAAGAGGTTGTAAACATATGTAACTTTTGTGAGTATTTGTTAAAAGGCAGTTAAAATACTTTATTCAGTCTTATGTTCTTATTTTAAGGACAGAATGGTTTTAGAGCCTTTGACTTAATAAAGCTCTTTAACCTTTATTTGTTGATATTCTTTTAAATAATTTGAAGAAGCTGGGTTTCCTTGTCAGATTCAGGAATAAATGTAACATCTGTCCATGCTCTGAAGAGTGGAAGCCCTCGGTGGCTCTGGAGCTGAGGGTCTTTAGAACCACTGTTTTGTTACAGTGCACATAGAAGTAATATTATTGACTTCAACAGGTGAGACTTCCTTAGGCTTCCTATTGTGAATATGATTTTTGTGCCTTTCTCTGATAAAGGGTATACTTGGTCCCAGGTCAGGAAATATTTAAAAATAAGCTCATTCATTCCACCTTTTCTTTAGAAACTATTAACTTTGGAGAAAGCCAGAATAAAATGTTATCCAGGTGATGGTTATGATGGCAACTTGAGACTTCAGTTTTGCGTTATAATAACGGACCCTAGTGCTGTGCACTGGGGCCGAAGTAGAATAATACTTCCAACCCATGGGTCCCCGAGATGGGAGCAGCGCTGCCGGAGGAGCCAAGATCTAGGATGATGCAGTGACACGGAGCTGATGCGGCCACCAGCCTCCCAGTGCCGAGTTTTCCTACAGTCTGATGACCTGACTTGATTTTCAGTCAGCATGCTCATGCCTGTGCCTTACTGAGAAGTTCAAGCTCAACACTTAAAGAAAAAATAAAACCAGCTCCTTCCACAATGATGCATTACTTCTGCATGACCTTGAAAAGACAGTGCGGGGTGGGAGGAACAATTCACCATGTGCCTCAAGGAATTCTAATACTGGAGTGTAATAGCCCCCTGTGCCCTCTGTGGAGGGATTTGTCTTCTCGGCCCCTGAGAGTCTCAGATGAACACGTGATAGTTTGGCAGCGGTAGAAAAGCATAAGGTTTTAGAATGTGAACCCATTATAATTTTTTCCTTTTATTCAGAGGATTGAAATGTATGATGATCTTTTGAATAGTTCATCTCTCTGCATCTATTTCTGACTCACGGTACAGCTAAATCATGCAAACAGACAATAGACATTATACGGTTGTCTTTGAAGAGTAAAACTCAAGCTTGCCTCTGTACAGTAAGTTTCGTTTGTAGACCATGAAAACAGATGAAAACTAATTGGAAAATGGCGATTTCTGTGGTGGAATTATGGTGTATTTATATTTATCAAGCTCACTTATAATTGTCCTTCTTCCCTTTGCTACTGAGCGGAATAGGACTGCGACTATAGCAGCGTCTCAGCCTGTTCTGATGATTTCCCCACTGTTTTTAAAATAGTTCAAGCTAGAACTGAGTGGACCAGCCACTGGATACATTTAATTCATGTATTTATTTATTCACTCCTATTCTTTCCCATATATACACCCTCCAGAGATTCTAAACCTGATTTCTATGTAGGGAATGGTATAGGATGGCTTTTTTCGTAAGTTTCCAAATAAGTAGAACCTTGAAATGATGGTTGCACAGTGATAGATGTTTTTCTAGAGTTTTGCTTTTCATTGTGTAACGTGCCATATGGACACTTACAGACTTCATGTATTCTGATCTGGAATAGACAGTTTTACAGAAAGAATCAGGAGTCCAGACTTTCGGACAAAATTTCAAGCAAACTGCCAGCAAATTTGAATAGGTTTTAAAATACAGGTTGTCAGTAGAGTAGAAGAAATGTTAGCACTTGGTGTGTCTGTTTCTAATCGTTCTAGGAGTGCCTAGAAGTTCAGCCAGCTTAGATTTGTTTGGGCAACTTAAGGAATCTTACAAAGAGTTTAAAAAACCCAGAGGTTTGAATTGGCCAGTAATATGTTATTGATGATAATATCAGCAATATTTGATTCTATCTACCAGGAAGGATATTGGGTTTTGGAATCCTGGATGAAGCATGGGCCACACACTTAGAGAGCGCACTGCTCTCGCCCCTCCCTTTGCTGTTGCAGGGTCTCTGGTCTCTGCTGCTCATTCCTGGTGCAGCAAGAGACCAACCATGTGCTTTAGAGATGAAGTGCAGAGAACTGAGAAATTGTAACTTTGTGAGTTACAGTGTAGCATGATGTAGTTCTCATGAGTGTGTGATATTCTGCTTCTATTTGATATTTAAATTTCTTAAGCATTCATTTTGTTAAGATACTCTCTAGATACATTCTTCTGGGGGAGGCCCTATTAGTAATATGTTGATAATACACATCTACAAAGAACTAGAATTAATTTCATTTGTATCCGTGTCCTTCCAATTCTCATTTCCCGAGGAGATTGCATTTCTCCCCAGAACATTAGGGCCAGGTAACGGATTGTGGACTTCATCTCTGGCAGCAGTAGCCAGAGTCCTCTCCTCAAGCACAGATTTTATTTTTTGTCCCCTTTATTGTTTATAGCTGTAACTCTTTTGTAAGATGGCATGATATAAATATGAAAAACTTTTTATTGATCATATTTGAGACTTGAATTCACTAGATACCAAGTATTATATTTTCTAATCTAATCTTATATATTTTTTTATGAAGTGCCCCATTGCTTTCTGTAAGAACATTACAAAGCTTTATTTTTCCTTCACAAACCATTAAGTGGGAATTGCTTTTCATTAATTGGGTTTATAATATTGCAACTTCAATTCACAGAGTGGGACTGAATTATTTTGTTTTTCTAAACATGTAGTACCTTATTTTTAATTTTGTAGTTTGTGATCTAGTCCATCTATTGACAAGATTTAAAAAGGTATTCCCACCACTGGTATGAAAGGAAGCAAAATGTAAGATATATTTAAGAAATTGAGTAGCAGATATCTATCCTGTTTGACCAGCCCCTAGAAGAAGTAGTATAAGAACTCATGTCTCTAATTATTTCTATTTTTAGTATTATTGATTCTCAAAAATACTAGCTAGAGAAGAAACCCCTAGTGAATGTGGTTTTAAATGTTAAAGAACTACATCATGCTACATCTTTTTCAATCGCCTAAAAATATGTTCAGAAGTTACATTAATATAATTAGGATTGAATTTATGGTTCATAGACTATTTTTATAAAATTATTTATATATTATGTTTTCTCCCATTTAAATCTACACTTGATATTGTGTGAGACTTGAGCAAATGCTGTATGGTTTGTTATATCACACTGGATCAAATACCAGTTTTAACACCAATCATTGATGTAGCCACAACATAATTTTATATTTCGCCTTTTCTGTTTTAAAGTACAATTCTGAGTGCTAGATATTCAACTTTCCAATAAAAAAGGTGCTTTTTGCCTAGTTTAACACTTGGCTGCAGTATTACTTTAAGAATACAATTTTAAGCCAAAACCGGTTTGGCTTAGTGGATAGAGCGTCGGCCTCCGGACTGAAAGGTCCCAGGTTCGATTCCGGTCAAGGGCATGTACCTGGGTTGCGGGCACATCCCCAGTAGGAGATGTGCTGGAGGCAGCTGATCGATGTTTCTCTCTCATCGATGTTTCTAACTCTCTATCTCTCTCCCTTCCTCTCTGTAAAAAATCAATAAAATATATTAAAAAAAAAGAATACAATTTTAATATTTGAATTCTTACTTAGATTACTTAATATTTTGAGAGTTATCTGGAAAAGTCAAGAAATGTTGCCTTCTGGCTAACTTGAAATTATGTGACATTTGGGGGCATCTTTTTCCTCCTATTAAGTGTGCTGTAGACAGTTTCAGTAATATGTGGTATAATTGTAGTAAGTTTACTATTAGGTTTTTGATTGTTGCACATCCTTTGAAGCAAAGATTTTGTGTGGACAACTTTGAAGTGACACAGAAATGATTTTTGGTGACCTTTTGTGTATCTGGTGGCCATAGGCAAAAACAAATACACGCTTTTCATAAACTTGGCTTCCTTGAAGGTACTTGTCAAGTAAATGCCTTTAATTTATAAATTAAAAGCAGAGTTTCACTGTCTTTTTTTGTTTTTTTACAGAGAGGAAGGGAGAGGGATAGAGAGTTAGAAACATCGATGGGAGAGAAACATCGACCAGCTGCCTCCTGCACACCCCCCTACTGGGGATGTGCCTGCAACCCAGGTACATGCCCTTGACCGGAATTGAACCTGGGACTCTTCAGTCCGCAGGCCAACACTCTATCCAGTGAGCCAAACCGGTTAGGGCTCACTGTCTTTTAAAGTTAGTTATATTAACTCCAGTTAAAATATTCTGACTTCCAAAATTGAGATTTAGTGGTATGCATTGGAGAAAATTGGAATTCCAAAATTATTTGATCATTTGTAGAATGGGGCTGTAATATTTAGGTAAGTTCATATATCAAAGGAAGACATTTTCTACAGAATAAATGTATGTGTGTAGTGCTTTAAGGGTACCTTTAGGAGTGATATCTAAAACTAATTATGTAACCAACTTTCAAATTCTGATTCATTCCTTTGAGTCATTATTAAGGATGTTTGTATTTTTGACAGGTAAACTTTTGTGAATACTTCCTATATATTGAAAAGTATGGGGGATTTCACAACTGCTAAAATTTTGTAAAGTTAAGTAGGGTGAAAGCATTTTTTCTAATAAGCAATTTCTGTACAATTTTTCTCAAGGTTTGTTGGCATCCAAAGCTGTTGGGGTGGATGGTGCTGAAAAAAAGGAAGACTACAGTGAAACGGCTCCAATGCTGGAGCAGGTATGAAATGGTAGCATTTGATTTTTTTCAAGGTTCCCAACTGGAATGATCACGGAGCTATAATATCCACGTAATTGAAATTGCCCTTTCGGTCAGATATGAGAATAGGAAGCTAATTAATTGCTATATTTTTAACTCTGCCTTCTCTGAGGCGTACAAACTACAGACTTCACGTTTATTTTCTATAGACTGACATTAAAGCCTTTGTCTCCAACATTTGAAGGCCTGGAGACAGGCCTCCCAGGGTATAAGTTTCCAGCTGGATCCCTTTGACCAGCTTACAAAAAGACCCTTACACAAATACTTTCCATTTGTGAGTTAAAACAGGGTTTCGGACATCTAATAAAGCTTCTTTTGTAAGAAGTTTCTTTTATATTGTAACGATTGGTGTTGTTAGACTGACTATGTGTTTTACGAATTGATCAATGAGCCATACCTTTTTTGCTAGGATGTATATTTTAATAACTACAAAAAAAGAATTTTAAAAAACTATTATGGGTCTGTCTTTAAACCACCTAATAGAGGAATTTAAAAGTGAAGGTTGCGGTTGCTAGATTTCTGCCTTGGCTGCCTTCAGATCCCCACAGTCCCTGTTCATAATGACCTGCATGCTCCTACGTCCTCCAAGGGCTTAACTTCTTGGGCACTGTTAGACTGTCAGAACACAGTCATAGCCATAACTGGATCTCCTTGGTTCTCCTGGTTTAAAATCTGAGCCTTAATGTAGTTTTAATATGTCCTTTTTGTATTACTTTAATTTTCTTTATTAGTAGCCTAATAAAGAAGACTTTAAAATGAGTATCTTTTGCTCTTATTGTTCAGAAAAAGAATCCAAATTTAATTGATATTGTATTGAGTTTTTCAGGGTTATTTTAGGCCTGATTTGATAACAATGCATTGTTTTGGTGCCTCCATTAATGTTGTATTACATGAACAGTTTTTTAAATTGATTCATATGTCAGCAAATTACACCTTCTGATTTTCTGTGATCATCAAACGGTTAAGTCTTTGCCGTTATTGTCAGTATATCAACCAAATTTTAAGTGACTTTTTTTTACTGTGTATTACTATATTCAGCATCCCAATTATAACATCATTTTGTATTTTCACCACTGTTTATAGTGCAATAAATAAATTGCAATAAATCAGGGACTTGGGTAATAAAATGTTTCTGGAAAATTCATTACAATGTCAATCTTTCATTATGCACAGTCCTGCTGAGGTGAATGTGAAAATCTCTTATATGTGGAGGTTAGTCTAGAGGGCAGCGCCCATTTCAAAAGGAAGAACAGAAACCAACATTTTGAAATTGAGTAAAAAAAGAAAGAAAAATGGAGTGACTCGGCTGTTTCTGGTTGCATAACTTAAAAAATTTTAAGAGTTCTTGCCAGTTTTGTAACAAAGAGACCAATAATCATTAATGAGAACATTGTACATTGTTTAAGGTTTTTAAGGAACGTAATACTATTCCCTCATTTTTTAATTTGTTATTCAGGTTGGTTTCAATGTGAAAATATTTGGAACCAAATTCTTTTTATGCTGTTTGTCCTGCTTCAAAGTAAAAAAGCCGAGTTATAAAATTCTCAATTACGTCTTAGTTGGTATCAACAGCAGGCTAAAGGAGAGGCATTGATTCTCGCTAACCTCTGTTTTTCTAATGAGTAAAATAGTATCACAATGACATAAACTTATAACAGGCCTACAGTCAAAATTTACTATGCTAATAATGGGTTTATTTTATTTACATTAAAAACATTCAAACTCTGTGATCTTGAACCCCAATTCTCAGATTATTAATTACAGATTATTTAATTGTATTAGGGAATTGTTATGTTATATTTACTTTTGGATAAAACCTGCATTAGATGCATAATTAAGTAAGTTTTTAAAATGTTAATTTGTCCTTGTTTAGAAGTTAAGCACCTTATCAAGATACTAATTTAAGTTTTAAAATCTTGTTTTATAACTTTGTAACTCGAGAGTAATGGATGCTGTAGTGATGTCTCTCACATATGTGAAGATGAACAATAAAATTGTTTATTTACAAGTAATGGCTCTAATTACTTTTCTGGCAACACCTTTTATGATAAACTTAGGAACCCTTTCCATTTATGGAGTACCTTTGCAAATGATTCATGTGCACTTACACACATGTGTAATGAGTAAATTCAAGAGTAGAAATGATGACAAGTAAATGGGACACTTGACACCAGCCCTTTTATGTGGTTTGTCCACCATGCCATCTAGAGCATTCAAAGCTGTCCTACTTAATGCCAAATATACACTTTTTTCCACCAAAATGTGAGTGCCTTGTATTTTAATGGGAACAGAACGCTGTTTGGTCCCCAGCAATGATCTTTCATATTCTGGAAAACTGCAGACACAGGTCCGATGGTCATCCCTCACAAAAGACATGGAAGTTGAAAGTTTCTGAGGGACAAGTATATTGTTCAGAGTGCTAGCAACTTGATTTTTTATAGAGGCCTATCTGAGTGTAGATATTTAAAAAGTGTATCTTATATTCTCATAAGAATATCAAAATGAAATACAGTACAGCATTCTAACACCACAGATTACAAATCCATCCAATGTGCCTATTTTCTGTTATCAGTGGACACATTCACATACATTTTTACACAGGTAGGACATTGTATTGCCAAATAAAGAACTGACAAAGTTCCAATTCTTTTTTAAAAGTATCAGTTGGCAGGAAGAAGGTAAAAACTCTCATCTAAGAATGCGACGTATTTTGTTTTTAAATCCAATGTTTTTAACTTACACTTGGTTTTACTCCTTGGTTTTTTTTTGTTGTTGTTGGCTTGTTTTGTATTGTTTTTAGTCTTTTAACTCTGTACTGCTGGTGGCTTTGATTTCATGATGCATTATGCTTATGAAACTCTAGCTTTCAGCACTAAAATGAGTTAAAGATAATGTTTCGTTAATTTGATCATTGTTTTCCTGTTGAGATCTTTCTTTAAAGGGAAACTGTCCACTTAGACTTCTACATTCAACTTAATAAATAAAATTATAAGAAAACACCTGAAAGTCAAAGGTTTAAATGAATTTCTTTAATGCTCTAAGACATGAAAATGCTGTTTATGTACTTATTAATGTCATTGGGAATTATGGCTTCAAAAGATGTATATTTCAGTTTAATACTGAAAATATTTGTTCAGTAAGATCACATTTTTATATTCTGAGATTACGAATAATACATTTTTTAAAGCCAAATTTAGACAAAGTTGACAGCATCCCTTTAAAGACAACCTATTCAACTTTTAGTTAATAATTTGTGGGGTTCTTTTTGGTTTTTCATTTGTAATAGAAATGTTATATGTTGCTTAACAATGTTTTTGGATACTAAAGTTGCTTAACAGTCAAAATAGAGTGCAAGAACAAAAATGAAGAAACCAAAATAAAAATATCAATTTTTTATTATTTATTCAGGCGATTTCACCTAAACCTCAAAGTCAGAAAAAAAATGAAGCTGACATTATCAGTTCTGCCAACACTCAGAAACCTGCACTGTTATCCTCAACCTTGTCTTCAGGGAAGGCTCGCAGCAAGAAATGCAAACATGAATCTGGAGATCCTTCTGGGTGTCTAAAGCCCCCTAAATCACCACTTCCCCCAGAGTTAACCCAAGTCGAGGATCTGACGCTTGTATCTCAGCTCTCTTCTTCAGTGATAAATAAAACTAGTGAGCACAGATTTTTAAGAAATAGTTCCTTATCCTATAAGATACCTGGAAAACAGTTTGATTGTAGATATATTGTATTTCTATGAGGTTGCTTTTTAAACATTCAGACTTAAGTGGCTATGATAGGGAAGCTTGCAACTATTTCAGGGGCACAAACTGTAGACATTTCTGACGGATGTATTGTTCAGAGACTACTGCTGGTTGAGAAACCTTACCCTGTAATACCGCAAATTCCACTCTAGCTTGATCCTCTTCAACTAATAATCCAAGTACAACGAGAGGCCTGATTCATTACAAAAAACAACATAGAAGACCCATGGCCAGTCTTTTTCCTGAAGTCCTAAGACTGTTCTTATGGATAGATGTAGTTGTCCCCACTTTCAGGGTCCCCGTCTGCAGTTCATTTTGTTCATTCTTATTCTAGTAGTTAGAGTGCAAATTTCAGTTATTACTAATGAAAGAAGAGTAGTTTTTGATCTTATTTTTAAAGGTTTTATTGTTCTAATACCATTAATCGTTCAAGAGTTAATTTAGCCTTTTTAAAAATAGCCTTTCAACACGGGTTTGTCTGTAGGTACGGCATTTGTGCTGACTCTTGCTCATATGAGTTTGGTATTAGAAGTTAGAAAAATATGAAAACCAGTTAACCTGGGAAGTCACTTGGTAAAAGACTATTTCCAATGAATTAGTTCCCTGATTAGTAAATGAGCATTACGTGCTTCCTTTTGGATTCTTCTGCATCGTATCTTCTGCAATAATTGAAAATGTTGGCATTGAGAAGACTTTTTTCAACCAAATACATTAATCTCCTCTTCCATTCAGTTGCCATATTTTCTACTAAGCCACATTTATCCATTTTTTACACTTTTTTGTTTTGATTTTGTTCTTTTTAATAAATGGGTAGAAAGGATGGGAACAGAAAAAAAATGTTTCCTCATTATAGCATTTAGCATGAAATAATGTTAGTAGTTGCAACAATGTCACATGACATTAAGTATTTCATTTTGAAATTGTTTTGTATTTTGGTATTATAACCACAATGTGGCAGCAATTGAATTTTATTAAATTATCACCTTTTTTATTTCAATTTTTGTAAAATTACTTTTAAATACCCAAAGCATCAACCTCTTTAGACCACTTATTTCCTCATAAATTAATGTGACTGTACTGGCCTTATGTAATCCTGCCTGTTGGAAATAACCAAGCATTTACATGCCATATCAAAGGAAGAAAATTAAAGGCTACAAAAAGGAATTTTCAAACTTGTGTTATTTAGCTAGAAGATGCTTGCTTATATGACTCACCAAGTTATTAAAAACAAAACACAGGAGGGCAAGAGTAGGGTCATTTTCTTTTAAAATCTTGATTATTTGCCCATAAGAGGTATTAAAGCTCTGTTCAATTTTTTTTAATGAATCAGGCCCAAATATATGCTTATAAAAATCCATTTAGGGGAATGAGGGTGGGATGAAATTATTTACATTTTTTTTTTTTTTTACTTTGGCAAGTAAAGTAAAGCACTAACTACGATGCATGTCAGATATTTGTCACCCATGCCCCTGCCTCTTTTCCCCCATAGAGTTTCTATTTCTAGATTTGTAATGTAGCAGAAGGGATATATATTTTTTAATCTTTGGCTGTACAGAGACGATTTTCCCAAAGGAAAAATGGCAACTAACACGACAATCTACAATTAGAGAATTAACTGTAGTCTGTCCTGTGGGGACGCTACCTGAAATTTATGTTCCCTGTTCTCTTCTTTTGATACTAGTAGGCTTTGCTTTTAGAAGTTGTGATGAACTCTTTGTGAGGGCACACTTTTTGCCTTTGATTACCTTCGGAACATGCCGTTCCTTGTGGATACCTTACAACATCAGAGGGCAGTATATAATGCCTTTTCCCACTTACCTCAAATATTATAAGATGAACCCGGCATGTGTGTGCTTCGTGAACATTGAAGGTTTTTTTCTAGGTTCTCCACAGTGTGTGAGCCCCCCTAGGCCTTCCAAGCATAGCGAGCGGAGGAGAAGATCGCAGCGCTTGGCCACCTTGCCCGTGCCTGATGGTTCAGGAGAAAAGGTGTCTCCTCCCGCTCCAGCCACTGATGGCAGAGTCGTCTCCGTCAGTGCTCAGAGTCAGCAGGCGACCTCAGTACCAGAGGGTAATGTATATTGATTTCCTACAGAGCCACACGTAAAGGAAGATAAAGTACTAAGAGACAAAGACTTAAAATATGAAGAAGCTTCTGCTTCTTCCTTCTTACATCTTTGGGACTTTTAAGAACTTCGTGTATTCTACAAATAGTTACGGAGTGCTTCCTTGTGCCAGGCACTGTTTAGCTCACGTAACATTTAAATCCTCGTGGATTGAACTGAGCCAGTTTATCGGTGTTAATGTTCTATCACATTCTGTATTTTGTCTAGTGCCTGATGTTGCACATTTGTCACTTGAGAAGCTGGGACCCTGTCTCCCTCTTGACTTAAGTCGTGGTTTGGAAGTCACAGCACCGCTAGCTCCAGATCCCTCTTACCATAATGAGTGTGCCAGGGCAGACAAGGAAGATACGCAGATGCTCACAAATCCTTCTTCCAAAGCAGTACCTGATGGAAGAGGAGCCCCGACAGCCTCAGGTAACAGTTCATTTTATGAGCAACTAGGCTTGCATTTATAGGCTGTAAACATTGGCATATGTAATTCTCTTAAAAAACACTTTTATGTAATGTCTGTGGGAGATAGGGTCTCTCTCTCTGTTTAAAGTTCTTTTGTGCCATCATATGCTATCATATGCCCTGGACATATTTCTTACTTTGTCACTTTAATCTGCTTCTCCCTGCCTCTCTCGCTTTCTTCTTCTTTCTAATTTTAATTTCCTTTAAATTTTTCAATTACAGTTGACATTCAATTTTATATTAGTTTCAGGTGTACAGAATAGTGATTAGACATTTATATAACTTATGAAGCAATACCCACTGTAAGTCTAGTACTTACCTGGCACCATGCATAAATATTACAATATCATTGACTATATACCCCCTATGTTGTACTTTACATTCCCATGACTGCTTTGTAATTGCCAATTGGAACTTCGAATCCCTTCACCTTTTTAACTCCCTCCTAACCCCCCTCCACTGGCAATCATCAGTTCTCTATGAGTGTGTTTCTGTTTTATTTATTCATTTATTTTGTTTTTTAGATTTCCACTATTACTAAAATCATATGGTATTTGTCTTCTCTGACTGATTTATTTCAATTAACATAATACCCTCCAGGTCTGTTCATGTAGTGCAGATGGTAAGATTTTATTTTTTATGGCTGAGTATATTTCATTGTATGTATGTACCACATCTTTATACAGTCATCTATACAGTGGGCACTTGGGTCTTGTTTTCTTATCTATTCAGCCGCCCAGTGTCTTTTGATTGGATCATTTAATCCATTTACATTTAAAGTAATTATTGATAGGAATGTAGTTATTTTCATTTTATTATTCCTATTTTTAATTTTTATTTTTCTTCTTAAATAAATACCTTTACAATTTCCTATAATACTGGTTTGATGGTGATGGACTCCATCTGCTTTTTCTTATTTGGGAAGCTCTTTATCTTTCTTTCAATTCTAAAACATAGCTTTGCTGAGTAGAGTAATCTTGGTGGCAGGTCCTTGCTTTTCATCACTTGGAATATTCCTTGCCAGGTCCTCTGGCTACAAAGTTTCTGTTGGCCAATCAGCCGGAGGTCTTAGGAATTTGTTTCTGTACATAACCAACTGCTTTTTTCCTGCTGCTTGGTCTTTAACCTTTGGCATTTTAACTATGATGTGTCTTGGTGTGGACCTCATTGTGTTCAGTGGTGCAGTCGCCCTAGTCACCTGAGTTGCTGCTCCAGGGTGTTCCTTGTGTGGGTTGTGTGCCCTAGTTGAGCCTTGATTGCTGTTGGCACATCGTGGGTGACATTGACCCTCAGGCTGACTGGCGGTGAGGACTGGCTGTGACTCTAGCTAGTGTGCAGGGGCTGGCCCCATGGAGTGGATTTACTTTAGCAGGACTCTGGTGCCTGAGGAGTCTACCCTTTGGGCGTGTCCTTTGTGGAGCTAAATGGGGGGTGATCTAAAGCAGGCCACTGGGTGTGTTGCTTCTGGGGCCTGGTCCCCCCCAACTGCCCTCCCCTGCAGGCCTGGTCCCCCCCAACTGCCCTCTCTGCAGGCCTGGTTGCCCCCAGTTGCCCTCCCCTGCTGGCCTGGTCACCCCTAACTGCCCTCCCCTGGTGGCTTCATCTCCCACAACTGCCCTCCCCTGCCGGCCATCTTGTGGCTGTAGGCGCCGCCATCTTTGAGGGTGTGGCAGTCTATTAGTATATTCCCTCCTTATTGGCTATGGGCGCTGCCATCTTTGAGGGTGGTGCAGTCAATTAGCATATTCCCTCCTTATTGGCTGTGGGGCACTGCCATCTTTGAGGGAGGGGCAGTCAATTAGCATATTCCCTCTTTATTAGATAGGGTAATAAAAGGGTAACATGCAAATAGGCCAAACAGCAGAACAACTGAACAACCAATCAAAGCATAATATGCTAATGATATGCTAAGGCTGCTCAACTGCTTGCTATGATGTGCACTGACCACCAAGGGGCAGATGGTCAGTCTGATCAACCAGTTGCTATGACGTTCACTGACCACCAGGGGGCAGATGCTCCAACTGCTGGGTTAGCTTGCTGCTGGGATCTGGCTGATTGGGACTGAGTGAGATGGGCCGGATACTCCCTAGAGCCCTCCCACGGTCCCTCCCTGGCCCAATCGTGCACTGGTGGGGTCTCTAAGCCTGGCCTGCGCCCTCTCACAATCCAGGACCCTCAGGGGATGTTGGAGAGCCAGTTTCAGCCTGATCCCATAGGCCACTCCCCTTGGGAGGGCACCTGATGCAGGGCTCATGGCTGGCAAGTGCTGCTGTGGCAGCGCGAGCCTCTCCTGATCGGGACTGATTGGGTGCGAGCCTGCAGCAGGCACATTCAGGTGGCGTTGGACTGCGGGTTTCAGCCTGATCCCTGCAGGCCACCCAGAGGGACCCCACCCGTGCACAGATTCGTGCACCGAGCCTCTAGTATCTATATAGATACATTAATAAGACAGAAAGATAAACCAGTATACATAGCTCTGCAATAACTAAGAGGTGTGTTAGCCAGCTTAAATGTCCTGAAATGTCGAAGTAGTGATTGTGCATGCACATCCTTGATTCAGGTGCTTTAGCTTCTAATTGGAGTATTGACCTCATCTTTTTTTTTTCAGAATGTCTTACAAATTTGTGGAAATATGCCTAATTACCATTGGGGTGTGGTTCTTGTTTCTCTGATGGTTAAAATGTACTGGGATGGAGGAAAGGCATAGTAACTCTTCTACTTTTTAAGTATTATAAGTAACTGTTTGAGAAAGAGTAGTAGGACCGTTTTCTAGAAAAGTGAAAGGGAGAGAGGAGTGTAGGTTTGTAATACAATGAATTCGTAAATTTGTTGAAAAGTGAGGATCTTTTGCGTATGGGTGATGGCTGGTGATTTAGTTGTTTAAATCAAGGCTATGCATGGTTTTAAATGCTAATGACTGAAAGTCCATTTATTAGAGGTTTGAACACAGTGTTTGAATGCAGGGTAGGAGGAATTCGAATTTATTTCTATTACCCCTTTCATTTTTTATTTTTTAATGGAAGTAATGGAATTCAGGTCACATTCTAATTGGACACCTTTTGATTAAAAACCCTGTGAGCCGTGTGACTTGCATGAAAACCTCAATGATTTGCATGCTGTCCTGACCTGTGTTCTGAGCAGCGGTTCATAACCGGTTTGTTTTCCAAGTACCTGAGGGATCTCGCACGTTGCAGCCCATAAAGGCAGCCCTCTCAGTAGTTCCTTCTCTTTGAACCAGCCCAGGGGATGCCATCCCTGCTCCACCTTTCACCCCAGAGGCGATGCTTCAGAGAACCAGGGGCTGCAGGCACTGGCGTGATCCAGGGCTGCTTCTGCAGGTGTCTGCGACCAGGGGGCTTAGCAAGCACAGCCCTTGTGGTTTGCACTGCACATGCCTCGTCAACTTTAAGAAGACTGCATCAAAGTTGTAGAATTTTCATGGTGTTGTTATTAGTAGTCAGCAAACAGTAATTAGTGAAAGGAAGTGATGCATTTGTTCAACAGTCTTGGTAATAAGGAAATTTAATTGTATTTCTCTTAGCTCTAATGACCGTTTTATTTTTTGTCATGGAGATCGTCAATATTCTGACTTAATATGAAACTTAACTTTTTAGAGCTTTATTAACTTAATTCAAGTTGAGTGGTATTTTTATATTTTTATTGTGTTAAATTAAATTATATAAAACTAGAGGCCCGCCGATGCATGAAATTCGTGTAAGAGTAGGCCTTCCTTCCCCTGGCTGCCGGCCCTGGCTTCCCTCTGGCACCTGGGACCCGGGCTTTCCTCTGGCCACTGGCAGGCATCCAGGACCCGGGCTTCCCTCACAGCCCTGACTTCGTCTGGAAGGTTGTCCGGAAGGACATCTGGTCTAATTAGCATATTATGCTTTTATTATTATAGATAGTTGAAGATAAAATGCTAGCTTTTTTGATACTGTATTGAAATTATTCAAAAATAGAAGAACTTGTAAGTAATGATGTTAAAGCCTGATTCACTGAACTGAAATTGTGTTTTAAATGCACTGTTGTACTTTTCTTAGATTGATCCAGACACATGTAAGCACTGGGAATGGTTGACTGTGAGTTAGAAGCTTGAGTAAATGTGTCTGTGTTTGCTACAATTATTGGGGTGCACTATTGGTTTAAATGTATTTTGAACAATTAGTAAAACTGAAATGTCATTAAGGTTGAATATTTTTATGTGTCAATAAGCCTTTGTCTTTACATTTAGATAAAGACCAAAAACAATTTGTACAATAATTCCACTTTGGCTTTTATCATTATGTAACACCACATTTATGATTACATTCAAAGACAGGTTTGTAGGCAACGGAGTTTAAATATTAGTTGAAAATTTCATATAGGTTGTTGAAAACCAGTATGCTTTAATATAAGTTTACTGTTCCTGGATGAGCTGACTAGTACTTATGTCAGAACTGCCACGGAAGCAGAGATGCCACATGGACCTGCCACAGGCGCATTTCAGCATCTGAATTGCCCAAGGCTGGGCCGCAGTGGATCTCCACTGATTGCCTCGTGCAGTTAGCTTATCATATTTCTTTATATTTAGACCCATAGTTATTCTAGAAATGACGTAGACTCCAATGATTACCCCACCACAGAGGAGGGGGTGGTCTAAGCATATTACACACTTTACACATAGTCCTGGCAACAACACAGAGTAGATACTCTGGTTCCTGTTAGGCAGGTAAGGAGCTGAAGTGCAGAGACTGGATGAATTGCTCCAGGCCAGAAGCTAACAGTGGAACCAGGAGTTTAGTCTGGTAGTCTGAGGAGCAAAAATCACCCTTAACTTACCAGTTCTTCAAAGTAAGAAGTCCTGTGTTTTTGTTACTAGTTCAGGCACTAAAATCATGGAGACCTCCAGGGGAAAAGAGTCTTATGTAGAGTTCTTGGTGATCAGTTGTAATTTAAAACACTGTTTTATACTTTTAACCCTCTCTGACTAAACTTACGTATTTTCCCCCTAAACCTGCAGGAATATCGAAAACAGAAAAAAAAGTGAAATTGGAAGAAAAAAGCTCCACAGCATTTGGTATGAACAGAAAGTAAAATCTTTACGCAAAAGACTAAATGGCTTGGCAGTGGGGGGACTTGGTCTGTCCCTGGCTCTTTCCCCGGTAGTGCTCCTTAAGGCGTGAGCGATGTCTGGGCCTTTACTGGTGGTGTTCATCTCCAGGTGCAGGATGTCTTTCATGCATATCTTACAGATTGTGTGTATTTTTGTCAATGGACTTTAAGGCTTTCTCAGAACTGTGTGTTTAAACATCTTTAAAGCTGTGGCTATTTAAAAATAAGCTGCCATTGAATATTGTTGATACTTTGAAATTAAATAGTCATTTTTCCCAGGCTATCTTCTTTAAACTACCATATAAAAAAGTTACTAAGTTTTGTGCTGTCTTTTCTAGCAGCTGTGCTATAATGTCTGAAAGCTTTGGGATAATGATGACAGTCTTAAATACTCTACAGTCTAGCTACTGGGTTGTGGTCACTGAGAGTTGATTAAACCTGGATGGTAAATCGCAGACTAACCCTTTCTGAGTTGGAACAGTAGTTGAATATCTGTGATGGATTAATTTTAAATAAAATATTCTAGGATACTGCTTTAACTTCCATTTATTTTCTTTAAAGTACACGATTGGGTAAAAGGAAATTTTAGGAAAAATAAGTTTAATGAAATACATTTTTTTGTGTGTTTTTAGTTTTCATTCTTGTACACACTGGGGAAGTATTGAAGACTGAAGGAATTATTTATGGGTTGGTTTAATCTCTCTTATTTTTCCAAAGTAAAGAGATCATCAAGTTTTCTTTAATCTTCTAATATATTTTTATTAAATCATCCATGGAAATGCTGAGTCTCCTCAGATGGTCTGAAATTGCGGAGCTTATTTCTTGCCACATCAGGAAGCTGAGTTATATTCCTCGTTTAAAGATGTTAACTACTGTCTGTGTTAACTTCAAGGTGTCAGGAGTTGGGATTCTCAGCACTGCTAATGAAGACCCCCTCTTATAGTCCAATAAGCTCATCAGGAGCTCCAGACTCAGGACAGGAACAGTTTAATTGAACCCATCACTCTGGGCAGGTGACTGGAATAGCTGATTCAAACGTAAATGCTGCTTTTAGGTTAACCACAAAGGAACCACTCAGGAGCAGGCTGATTCCTGACTCACTCTCTCTTGTCATTTAGGTAAGAGAAAAGAAAAGGATAAAGAAAGGAGAGAGAAGAGAGACAAAGATCACTACAAACCAAAACAGAAGAAGAAGAAGAAAAAGAAAAAGAAATCTAAGCAGCATGGTAAGTATATTAAAATGGCGGTTGCCTTTTTTTTTTTTTTTTTCAACTTTTCTCTCTTCTTTTACCAAAATGGAGGTAGGACAAGATCCCTATGTGGATGCGAACTGAGAAGTTCCTGTAGCTTTCCTTTGTCCAGATAATTTTGAAAATAGGAGCTAGGTTTATAAATTAAGCAGTTTGTAAATTAATCTTTGCAACAGTTGGAGACTTCCATTCCCACCTTATGGCGGACTAGATAACCTGACAGGCACCCTTGAGCGGACTGAAGGAGTTATTCTCAATCTAGAATCTCATAGTGCCTTGATTCAGCTTTCAGAAAACAGTGAGAAAACCAGTGATAGTCTATTGGGTAGCCTGCCAAACCCAGGTAATGAGACGCAGAATCATCTAGCGAGGCGTGGGTGGGAAGAGGAAGTGGTGGTGTGATCATTATGTGTCTGAAACCTGATGTCATTACCTTTATAGTACCTCTTCCCGATTACTGGGCACTACTGTTCCTTTGTGTGTCTTGTATTGCAGACTATTCAGACTATGAAGACAGCTCCCTAGAATTTCTAGAAAGGTGCTGCTCCCCGCTGACTCGGCCTTCGGGGCCCTCCCTGGCTCTGCGCAGCATGTTTACGGAGAAGAACACCACGTATCAGTACCCCAGGGCGATTCTGTCAGTGGATCTCAGCGGTGAAAGTATGTGAACTAATGCTTAAAACAAGTCTCAGGTTCTGAAAATGTAGATCTGAGGGTAGAACATTCTTTATTGAAGGCCTGTCTGAGCACAGTTTGAAAAGTTCTATAAACTAAATGGAAATGTCAGCATTGGAAGTTTGAGCTACTTTTTAAAGCATATAAAGTAAAATTGACTTTATACTTAGTAGTAGGTCAAATGGTAGGAAGAAACTATTAGTTTCTATCATATTCTGCTTTTCTGCAGGTGTTTTTACATCTATTTTCATATTCTTCACTACCAGCTTATAAAGTAGCTTTTCTGATCCACATTGCATAGGTAGACAGGCAGAGACTTGTAAATCAAGCAGTTTTTTGGGTTAGTTGGTGTTAGAATTAAAACTCCAACCAAGGTTGATCTTAACTCCAAAGATCATGCTTTTTCTCCAAATGTTTATATTAGTCTTAAAAATGGACTTTGAATTCTTTTGTAAAAGAATTTGAGAGAGAGGAAGGAAAAGAGAGAGGAACACATCAGTGTACGAGAAAAAGCATTGCTCGCTCAGTGTGTAGTAGCGTGATCCCGTCCCATGGAACTGGAAGCCTGTGCTGAGATCCCTTTCTGTGTGTCTAGACTTGACCGACGTGGAGTTCCTAGATGACTCTTCCACAGAGAGCTTGCTTCTGAGTGGGGATGAGTACAATCAGGACTTCGACTCCACCAACTTTGAGGAATCTCAGGATGAAGACGATGCTCTTAATGAAATCGTGCGATGCATTTGTGAAATGGACGAGGAGAATGGCTTCATGATCCAGGTGAGCTGCCTTCCCCGCGGGAAGAGAGTGAGTTCAGGGCTCCTCAGTGCAGCACACTTCTGTGTTCTCTCCTCACGGTGCTGCGGGAGGCAGCACACTTCTGTGTTCTCTCCTCACGGTGCTGCGGGAGGCAGAGGTGTCTAACACAGCGTGATGTGCACGTGCAGCAGTAGTGACTGGGACGCCTCTTCCCCAGAGAAGAGACTTTCTTAGACAGACTCTCCCCCTTTGCCAGGGTGTTTAGTGCGCGGCCCTCAAGCTGCCATTCATTTCAGGAGCCATTCAGATGGGTGAGCATCCACACTGACGGTGGACCTAGCCCTTCTCTTGCTGGTCTGCATCCCTGCTGTGATCTACAGTGTGTGTCTCCCTTCACCAGGCAGCCGTGGAAACAAACTCCCGCTGGCCCTCAAGATTAGAGGACAGATGGCCTCTCCCTGCGGGCAGAGCATCTTTAAGAGAAAGGGGAGGCATAGCACACGTTTTGTGATGACACGGGAGATTTGGAGATGTTAGTTCAGGAATAAAAATAGTAATCTCCTTTTTGCTCCCCCTTTTCAGTAGTTTTCTCACATAAGAAAACTACAGATTTACAGTTGGTACTTTAAGAGATTATTGTTACAGGCATTGCTGTAAACTTGCCTTTAAAAATTTTTTTCTGCACTTTAATAAGCTATTTTTAAGAGTTTAAAACATGTAATTACCTAAAAATCAGTGGAAAATAGATGAGAGAAATAGGTTTATGACTTTTTAACGAATCAAGTAATTTATCAGAGCACATTTTAATGGGTGCAACCAGAGGAAGTTCCCGATATAGTTGACTGTTTCCAAAATGAGATTCGTGTTCAGCGCTCACTGGCTTTGCTGTGTGGAGGAGGGCTGCGGGAGGGCCCCTGTGGGTGGCGGGCCCGCATGATGGCTCCTCTGTCCCGCAGTGTGATGAGTGTCTGTGCTGGCAGCACAGCGTGTGCCTGGGGCTGCTGGAGGAGAGCATCCCGGAGCAGTACACCTGCTACGTCTGCCGCGACCCTCCCGGTAAGACACCCACCCACGACGCCCCACACTCCCCACATCCACAGGTCTTGTGATGAATCCACAGGGAGACAGCTGCACAGGACGCTGCTCCTTCCTTGCCACTCAGACTCTGCTTCTATATAAGATTTTCAAGTAGTTTGTATATGAATGACTTAGGCAAAGACATTTCTATAAGTTCATCCACATGGTACTGCCGTGCTGAAAGGGCGGTTCACCTTTTTCCTGGAGCAGAACATGCCCCTTCCTGTGCTCCTGGGCACTGCTTCTAAGCAGGCTACGCCTGGCTCTCAAGTGGAGGCTGCCCTGGTTTTGTCACGTTCCTCGTAGAGCTATACACCCAACCACTTTCAGAGCAGATGGGATCTCAGATGATCACATGTGGTCCCTTTATTTCATGATGAGGCAGCTTGGGCACAGAAGGTGGAATCCTTGGGCACAAGGACAGACTAGACGTGGCTGGACTGAGATGCAGACCTGCTCCCCCGGAGCCGCTGGGTGCTGTCCACAGAGGCCTTCCTCCTTCGGGCTCTCAGAGGAGCACTTCTGCTCTGTCTGTGCTCTCTGTTTCCGAGGCAGAAGCGCACTGCATGCTTCAAAAGGAGGCTAATGAATTGTTTTCATGTCTATCAAAAAAATGCAGTAAGTGAAGCAGCAAGCGGACATGAATGCAGACATTTGTCCATTCATTCAGCAGCATTTACACATGCCTTCTGTCTGTGAGGCACCGGGGAGAGGTCAGCTGACTGATTCTAATGACACCTCCTCTTCCTTATAGTGCAGTGGGGACACAGACACACAACTAATAGTGGGGTATAGTTCCTGTGGACATCAAGAGTACAGGATTATGTAGGGTTCTGCAGGTCTCAGCCATGGGGAGGGGTCCCTAGTCCTTGTCTAGGACTCTCTCTCGCGTCCAGGTCACAACAGGTGAGTGAGCAACAGGTGTCCCTGTCTCATTTCTGTCCGGCCCTCAGCCTTTTCAGAGGGCAGATGGCAGATGTTGCAAAGTGGAAAGCAGTGCACGCCAGGGTCCCTCCGCTGGGCCCTCTGCGGCCGCCACTCCTAATGGAGCCTGTCCTCAGGGGGCAGGGAGTCCTCCCGGGCCCGCCCTCAGAGCCCCGTGCCCTTTGCAGTGCGTCTTCACTCTGGAGCTCGCCCTGCTCACTGAGGATGTTAGGGTGGCAGCTGAACAGACACCTGGGCGTGGGACCCTTGGTGATGAATGCCTGCTCCCTCTACAGGGCAGAGGTGGAGCGCCAAGTACCGCCACGACAAGGACTGGCTGAACAATGGGAGGATGTGCGGGCTGTCGTTCGTGAAGGAGAATTATTCTCACCTTAATGCCAAAAAGATCGTGTCCACACACCACCTGCTTGCTGACGTCTACGGTGTCACGGAGGTCCTGCACGGCCTGCAGCTGAAGATCGGCATCCTCAAGTGAGTCGCTGACCGGGCTGGCCCTGTTTAGTGGAAAGCCTAATGCAGACCACACCGCGTGGCCTTGTGAAGGTTCAGACCAGCAGAAGGCAGAATCGTTACTGAATAAATTGTAACTTAAAAAGAGGAGAGATTAATAACGTCTTGGAAGTGGTTACGTGGACAGTACCTATCAAAGTAAAGATGTGCATATAGTACTCAGCAGGTCCATAGCTAGAACGTTGTCTGGCTGACACATTCCCACCTGTGTGTAAAGATACACACGCCTGTCCGTGGGGAGTTGGCTGGGTGATTAGACCATGTACAGTGGTACTGCTTAGCTGCTAGGCTGAAAATAAGGAAACCTGTAGGTACTGACATGCAGGATGGTCAGGCATGTGACATTCGAGGAAGGTAGATGGTGAGAGCTCTGCGTGTGTAAGAAGAGAAGGTGCACGCTGGGCTGTTTTGAAAGAATTCTGTGTGTGCAGGAAAAGCCTGGGGGACTGCACCTTGGGTACATGGGAGTGTATGGCAAGGGTTTCACTCTGTCCACAGTCGTAGTCAGAAGATTTCATCCTGGGCAAGTATCACTTTGTGATTGAATAAAGATTTTAAAATATGCTCACATAAAAGTTTTTCATATCATACAATGCAAAAATAGTATAGTGAAAATCCTGTAGAAAAAGAAGTCCATATATTAACATAATTAAATTCATTGTTACTTTTCCCCCTGAGTACTATTTCTATCAAATTGTGAGAATTCAAATTTTGGGTGAAATACTGGGGCAGATCAACCTACAGAATATCGTTGCTTCTGTCCTGAGTTCCGACCTCCTCCTAACCCGGTTCCCTAGTTGGTGAGCCGGGAGTCAGGCGGCCTGAGGCAGGCACTCCGCGCACAGAAGGCAGCATCACCAGGCTAGTTGTGTCATTCTGATGGTGAAACTTAGGCATTGTGCTTGTTGCTAGGTTTGTTTTTTTTTAATTGCTGTTTCTCCACTTTGTTTTAAGGAATAAACACCATCCTGACCTTCATCTCTGGGCCTGTTCTGGGAAGCGGAAAGACCAAGATCAAGTCGTTGCAGGGGCAGAGAAAAAAGTAATAGTGCAAGACACAGTTACTCCTGAAGAAAAGAAACACCACGTGCAGAACCACAAGGAGCCACCCCGGGCGCCCCCGAAAGTGGAAGGAACCTACATAACCAGCGAGCACAGCTACCAGAAGCCGCCGAGCTCCGGCCCGGACTGCAGAGCTCTTGCGGACCCCGGGAGCTCCGAGGAGGATGAGGTCAGCAGTTGTGAGGAAGAACAGGAACTGTACCTGAGGGAGAGACGCCGTGCGCAGTGCCCGGGGAGAGAAGATGGGGCGCCTGCACAGGTAGGGCTAGTCCCCGTGTCTGTGATGGAGCATGTGCTAGGTCAGCAAAGGGAAAGAAAATGCCACCTGAGTCCCAGAGCTCGCTTACAGTTCCGAGGTCGCAGTGCCTCCTGAGGGGAAAGACAAGTTTTGCTTTCTCTACAAGAAAACTCGGGCCTTTTGGACACTTAATTATCCCCGAATTCAGAATTGTACTATTTCAGTAAACTTTGGCCCTAACAAAAGTTTCAGTTTTATAAGCACATCTAGATATCCACAAAAACATGAACCACATTTTATTCCAAATGGAAATGTCTGTGTGAGAACACGGACATGCACATGGGTGTGTGTATATTTTAATAGAATTTGTCTTTTTTATGTGTAAGATAAAGGGTGGCACTTTAATCCTCTTTTTAAAAATGTTAGCATATTTGTATAGACATATCAGCTCCATTATGCGGTAAGTTGAATTCCTAGAGCTCTGTGTCCAGTGAACGTCTATAAACCTTCTATTCACGGGCGTTGTCTGGGATGTGCCTTCATCTTTACAAAATCTAGTTTTAATTCGCAATGCCACTTTCAAGTTAGTGCTTCATTGTCTGGCTCCCTTTATCAAGTAATCACCATAAATACATATTTGACTGAATTTGGGAAGCTTGTGTTTCATAAAACTTGTGCTAAATTATGTTGTCAAATTAATATCCCGATTGTGAAATGGGTTATTTCTGAGTTCAGGTTTGGTGTGTGTGCACCAAGCAGTTTGCACTTAAGTTTTTAAGAGTTTTCTCTTTCCCTTGCCTCATTGATTTCACTGCATCAGTCCAGTCCCGCCTGCAGTTAATTAGACTTTATACTGGTCTTTGCCAACTTTCTTGATTTTTCCATCATTGCTTTTTGCTGGCCATCTGTGTGTGTCATCAGTTAAGATGAATTGAGGGAGGGGTCAGTCTGAATTAGCTGGACATTCTAATTATAGACTGTCATTAGCGAGTTCATTTGTTTATCGAGTTTTAGCACCTTTGATTCTGTGTAGCACTGTGCTGCTAGGCATTGTGGGGAGATGGAGCAGACATGTCTGCTCTTATGGACCATCAGCTGTCATTTGATTATGGGCTAGAATTCCTTAAGAATAGTCTAGGAGTTTGATTGGATTTCGCTGATCTTTGTGGGTGATGAGGTTTTTAATGTATCTTTTTCTTTATGATGGTGCATTACATCCAACTCTTTGTTTTTTTCAATGGTGTTTTGGTGAAGAATCCAGCTGAAAAGAATATGGTATTTGTTTATAATGATAAAAAGGGCTCTGAAGACCCAGGAGACGCACATCTGCAGTGGCAGCTCAACCTCCTTACGCACATCGAGAACGTGCAGAATGAAGTCACCAGCAGGATGGATCTCATAGAAAAAGAAGTTGATGGTAATTTAAGGAAGAACTAAAATGCAGTTACTACAATGTGTAATTATGAAGACGTTGTTTTAGGCTTTTTTGTTGTTAACCCTCATTTGAGAATATTCTTCTATTTTTTTTTAAGAGAATAGAAGGGAGAGTGAGAGACAGAGAAAGAGATAGAGAGGAACATTGATGTGAGAGAGGGCCCGCCACTGAGGTACATGCCCTTTGACCGGAATCGAACCCAGGACCCTGCAGGCCTTGGGCTGATGCTCTAATCACTGAGAGCTAGAGCTATTTAAAGCTTTTTAAATTGTGGGGTGGAGACTGCAGGTGCTGGCCATGCCGAGGGGGCTCCCTCGATCCCTCTACATGTGCTTACACAGCTGGCGTGGGCAGTCTCCAAGCTTGGGACAATGTGACTGCATAATCTTAGGGTTTGTGTTCTGTTTTTTTTCAGGTGGATATTTATGAAATATTGCCCTGTGCCTGCTCACAGTAACTATTCATTTAGGCTTAAACTGTCTCTACTTCATTTTAAGGGAAACTCAGCTACTCTAATCAGAAGTTCGTTTTTAACAAAGAAAAGAAGATGGCAATTTCTGTGTCCTTTTCAATTCTATGTTGTCATTACTTTTTAAAAACACATAAACATACTAAGCGTCCAGGCAGAATGCAATGAATTTGCATTCTACAATTTTTATTAAGAATAATAATAAGGGAAAGCGTCACATTTTCTTTTTTCTCTCTATTCCATGAGAGAGTAAAAAGAGACATTCAAGATGGAGGTAATTTGCCCTAGCCGGTTTTGCTCAGTGGATAGAGCATCCGCCTGGGGACTGAAGGGTCCAGGGTTCGATTCTGGTCAAGGACACATGCTTGAGTTGCAGGCTCCTCCCCAGATGGGGACATGCAGGAAGCAGCCAATCAGTGATTCTCTCCCATCATTGATGTTTCTACCTCTCTCTCCCTCTCCCTCTCCCTCTCTTTCTGAAATCAAAAATATATTTTTATAAAAAAATAGTTAATTTAAACATATATAAAGAGAAAAATTACCTAAAATTGCAGTAGTTTAAGCTTACCAAGAGAGACATGAGCCCTTGTGGGGTAAGATATAAAGGCTGCTAAGTGGCTGTGCATATTGGCCTTCCTCGAAAAGGGAAGTGAACCGTCTCCATCACGTTTGCAGCCTTCTCATGATACCAGTTTTGGCTGTTCTTCTAGTTGCATTCACATGTGTTGGTTCTCTCTTTCAGTTCTGGAGAGCTGGCTGGATTTCACAGGGGAGCTGGAGCCGCCCGACCCTCTCACAAGATTGCCCCAACTGAAGCGCCACCTCAAGCAGCTGCTGATGGACATGGGCAAGGTGCAGCAGATAGCCACGCTGTGCTCCGTATGACGCTGCGCTCCCTGTGACCGCCAAGCCTGGGGGAGAGGGCGGGGCGCTCTCCAGTGGGGTGGTGTTCACTGCCCACGTGGCTGCTGGGTAGATAGTAACAGCGCAGGGCTGTTTGGTCACTTCCTGATTTGTGACATCATAGCCTGGCACCTTGAAAAGGGACTGGAGAACAACTTTATCAAGGATGCTAATGTGAAAATCAATTTATGAGCAAGCTACAATGATATTGCCAAGATCAGTGGAAGTGGAATGGGCTCTACTGAGGGAATTGAATGGGCAGGGTTTTTGAGTAGTTGATTACATAAAACTCAAGACACCGTAGAAAGAGATATGGTGTATCTATATAGTTTACAGTAGGAAGATCTTTGTTTATAAACCAGCATTTGGCCAAAAAAAAAAAAAAATGTAGAGGAAACCCAAGTTCTGTAAGTTGCCGTGAGAGCTGTCTTCTCTGCAGTTGACCCAGCTGCCTGGAAACAGAGTGTTTCTACTTTTAAGGATCATGAGCTGTTTCTTAGGTGAGGAATGCCCTTGATCGGAAAACTGACGGGAGGACAGGTGTGGAGTTCGCACCTCACTCCAATGGACTTCTAAAGGCAAACACCAGGGAACTGGAGTTTATTGCGGGCACTAAGCTCATTGAAAACAAAAGGGTTGCAGAAGGGTCCGTGTGCCAAATGCGGATGATGAGGCTGCAAGGAGGATTTTAGGTGTCATGGGGGTTGCCCCCCAAGTCTTACAGGTGCCATCAGGCCTTCGGAAGCGTGCATGCCACTGCCCTGTCTGTGACACATACAGGCGATTGCAGCGTGCAGGCTTCGCACCGACTCATCCGACTGCTCAGTGTTTCCTTCAGAAAAGCAACGGGAATACCCTCAGCGGGACGAGGCAGGGAGCGACCGGACGGCCTGGCAGGGGCTCCCGACTGCTGGTAGTGGGATCCTGGAGAAGCTGCGTTTCTGAAGATGAATTTTATTTTTAAAAAACACATGCGCACTCAGAACTTTTCACTTTGATCACAGATGGACCCGTTTCGGAAACCAAAGGCAACTAAGTTGCTGTGTCAGCTCTTGCTGGGCTCCGAGCCCGGTCCCGCCTGCAGTGCTCTGTGCGCCTGCACTTGCTCGCGCAGGGATGCGGCCGCGTGGACGCTTGTTTGAAGAAAACCCTCGGCGTACATATGTACATAGCCCACACATATTTATATCTACGCATATCTAGTTTTATTACCATAGACTATAAGGATTGGTGGTTAACATGAAATGTTACCTTTTAACAGACTGTTTTTAAAAATTAAATATGTATGTACAGGTTTTGAAACTCTTTTAAAAAGGGGGGGAAAGGCTGTTCAGAGGAGGCTGTTTGATGACATGACACTTGAATATTTTATGCCTTGTTCTGTGGATCAGTTCTCGCGGTCTGTATACGTGCATTCAGAACTGAGAGACAGGAAACTTGAATTTATCTTTGATAAGAATTCATGCCACTGTACATTCAGATGTTATTTAAATTTGCAAACACACTGTTCTATATGTAAGGTACTGTATGTAAAACACTTTATTAAAACGATTCCACATACCTGGCGGCTCCCGCTCGCCTCTTTGCGGCCTGTGTTTTGATGTGAAGATGAGAAGAACGTGCGGCGCAGTCATTAGCACTGTCTTGCCCTTGAGGTTCTGAGCCTGACACAGGCGCCAAGTCCAGCAGACAACACAGTCCTGGGTGTCCCTGTGACAGTAGCTTCATCAGACCCACTGAGGTGGCAGCTTCCATAGAGGTGACACTGTGGAGAGTTGCTTAAACTTGCATATTAAAGTAAAAATAACGTGCCCGTATTCCATGTGTGGAGTAAATTTGCGAATGTATTTCAAGATTGATACTGTACCTTTCATTTGTGCTTAAAAACAATAGCTCTCATCTTTTCCCGTTTATGGGTACATCCTGGACACTGAGTTTATATCTCCTTTTTCTCAACAATGGTGCAAAGCCTCCTTAGCCTATGAGTGCCTGGGATGGCCCCTGGATTCTTGTCCCAGTCAGAGAAACCCTTGTGTGCCTAACACACCCTCTCAGTGCCTGGCTGTGTTAATGCGTCTTGTTCTTGTGGTGTCTTCAAATGAGACCACTTGGTTTGTCAGCAGCCAGCAAACTGGAAGTTCCATTGATAGATAATTAGGTGGCTGAAATTTTGCTTTGCTTCTGTGTAAGTGAATTGGAAGTCTGACTTTTTAAATTTAGACTTTTTGAAGTCAATTTGTCAAATCACTTCTGTATACGTAGCCATTCGATGCAGTGTATCAAGGATTGATGGAAGCCTTTCAGCAAGTAGTGGCTGAGCGTTGCTTGGTTAGGAGGGTGTAAGTCCCTTGTGAGAAGTTCCGGGTGAGCTGGTGTTCAGTCTTGTAAAAAGCACATCTATTTAAATGTCGGCCAGGCAACGTTTCACTGCGACCCAGCCAGGAAGGAGTGAGCCTCGCGGGGAGCGGCCATCCTCGGTGTGAGGCTGCGAACTAGCCTGTGCCTCCTCACCCTGGTGTGTGGTCCTGCTGAGCTGCTCTCTTCACACCCGGGCAGTGCCCTCTTTCTCCGCGGCTCTTGGTTCTCGTCATCTCAGGCCAAGTCCCCTTTTCCACACTCATTCACACATCCTCTCTGATGCTCCTGTTCCGCATGTTCCACACGCGGCCCGTTCCCCGCAGCCCCCGGATCTCCTGCCGACCTCTCTCTGCTGACAGTCACCCCGGCGCCTGCTTGAAACTCTCTTCCCCCATCTCCGTTTCATCACTGGGTGTGCCGGGCCCTCAAAACGGGCCGGTGTCTTTCTGCTTCCCAGTCCCACGGTGTCCACCGTTCTTCATAAAAACCGTGTCGTGTAAGTATCACTACTGGCATGTTAACTCTGTTCATTCTCATTCATCAAAACGGCCCCTTCCAATATGATGCCGAGTGAAACAAGCCAGTCTGAGACAAATAGCCCGCGCGCTCACTTACCTGCGGAATCTGGTGAACACAGTGAACTGACCCACAAAATAAGACCGGAAGCAGGAGGCATGGGGCAGACTGACACCTCGATGTGGGGTTGGGGCAAGAGAAGAGACAAACCAAAGACCTTACATACGGCATAGCCCATGGACACATAAGGTGGTGAAGCCGGAGGGAGGCGGGGGGTTTAAGGGCTGGGAGGAGGGAGGCAAGGGGAGGGAAAACGGGAGATAATCTGTAATACTATCAACAATAAAAATACATTAAAAAAATAAATCCAGTTGATTCTGGAAGAAAAACCAACAAAACGGAAACAGACACTTCCAGGCTAGAGGATTACCTGGCCACTGACCGCGGCCGCTGCGTGCTGTGTATCGTGTGTGTTACCCGCCGTCTCTGACTTCGCTGGCGCTTCAAGGTGCCGTTCTCCTGCTTCTTGGTAAGATGAGTGATTTCGTCACAGCCTGGACGTGGTTGTTGTGCTAAGAAATCCTGGTTCTCATTTAAACCCTCCGTTTCAGTAGAACTGACAGCAGCACTGTGGCGGGAAGGGCACCCCCTCATTGCTGCGGGGGAGGAGGGGGTAGGAATCCAGGTTCTAGCCCCGCCTCTGTGGACACCTGGAGGGGACAGGCCCTGGTTCCCGCTGGTTGGGGTGGGGTTTAGGCTCCCATGTGACCTCCGGTGACTGCTGGGAGGTGGTGGCAGTCCTGCCTGTCCCCAGGCCCCTCCAGACACCACCCGCTGGGAAGGGGGAGAGGCACCTTGTTGTCGCCACCAGGAGGGGTGGACGTCCAGGCTCCCCATTGGGCCTCCAGGACCCCACAGCGAGAGGGGCTGCCCAGCCATGTGACAGCTCCTCTCCTCACGCAGCCGGTCGCCACCCTGGCGCAGGGCTCGGGGCCTAAGCTTTTTGGAATTTTCTAGATTGCTGTTTCTCCAGTGCCCGGTCTGAGACATGAGGCAAAATGAAGTCCAGGGCACTTGCTGCCACGTGGTTGCTCTGGTCTCCACTGCTCAGTCCCTGTCTCTTTGTCTGCAGAGTCCGGGGTCCCGCTGTGCTCGGCAGGCAGAGGGAGTGTGTGTCCACCTTCTGGAAGCAGAGTCCAGCACCAGGACGGCCATGATTGCCCACAACCCAGACAAGGAGAGTGTGTGTGGCCGTGAGTTCCCGGGTGGGACTTGGGGAGACACCGTCTCGCAGGGCCTGGCTGGGCTGCGAGGGCAGGAGGCTCGGCGGGTCTCGGGTGGGTGACGGCTGATGGGGTCAGAGACAGTGACATCTGATGTCTCAAAGCATCTCCTCCCCTGTGTCCCACTCGCGCTCCAGTAACCCCCCCGCCCCCCATCTCCAGGAGGCGCCCCTTAGGCACAGCCCCCAGTCTTGGAGAAGGAAGGGGGTGGGAGAGGAGGTTCAGTGGTTGTGTTTGGGGCCAAGGAGAGGGGAGGTGGCAGGGCCGGTGGGGAGCCTGCCCAGCAGCGGGCACTGGGGACAAGGAGCTGAGTCATGATGAGCGAGGCCTCGGGGTGCGGAGGCCGTGCTGGCGCGGCTCCGGCTCACGCTCTGCTGCCTGGGCGGAGAGAAGCACCTCTCCTCGTGCCCTTGTGCCCAGTCTGCCCGCAGCTCCTGCCCCAAGCGCTCACCTTCACAGCCCCCTGGGCCTCGCCCTCTCCAGGGGGGTCTGCAGTGGCCTCAGCTCACTGCCCCCAGTTCCCTGACCTCACAGCACGTGTCCCCCCAGGATGTGAATTCCAGGGTCCCCAAGGCACCAAACCCGGTGGAGCGGAGCGCCTGGCCCGGGCAGGAGGCGCTGACGCCATTGTCGCTTCCCGGGCCCGGGCCAGCGAGGATGACTGGGCACAGGCGGGGGCCCGCTCTGCATGTGTGCCCTGGGAGGCTGTCCCATCAGCTGTGATTATCCATCCTGACAGTGAGGACAGCGCTGCTCCCACAGCCCGGGGCTAACTTGCCCATACAGGGGCGGCAGGGGCCGCTGGGGGGGCCCTTCCTTGTGCGCCTTCTTTACAGCCTCTTCAGCCATCTCAGTCAGTGGTTCTCAACCTTCCTAAGGCCGCGACCCTTTAATACAGTTCCTCATGTTGTGGTGACCCCCAACCATAAAATTATTTTCGTTGCTACTTCATCACTGTAATGTTGCTACTGTTATGAATCGTCATGTAAATATCTGATATGCAGGATGTATTTTCATTGTTCCAAATTGAACATAATTAAAGCATAGTGATTAATCACAAAAACAATATGTAATTATATATGTGTTTTCTGATGGTCTTAGGCGACCGCTGTGAAAGGGTCGTTCGACCCCCAAAGGGGTCGCGACCACGGGTTGAGAACCGCTGATCTAAGTCCATGCCTCATTCTTCACTATGCCCACTCCCCAGGCAGAGTGGTCGCCAAGCCCCGCCCGTGCTTCTGACTCCCAAGACGTGTGTCTCTATCCGCCACCCCTACAGCTGAGAAGCAGCCGGGCCAGGGCCAGGGCGGGCGTGGGGAGGCCAGGGGGAGGCTGTGCTGGTCAGCTGGTCAGGCTGGGGGGCCGAGGAGGCAGGGGCAGCGAGGGTGTAGGAGAGGGCCCGTGCCCGAGGGATGGAGTGCGGGCTCGCTGTAGGATTGGAGGCTGATGAGGGGGAGGGCGGAGGTTCAGGACGCGCCCAGGTTTGCTACTGGACAGCAGTAGCATGTCGAGGAGGAGCATGTGGGACAGGTGGGATGTGAGGTATCTGTGGAGCATCCAGGTGGCGTGGGCCGGAAGCTTGACATACAAGTCTGGCTGGAGCTGGGGCTGGTGCTGGTGCTGGTGCTGGCGTTGGTGCTGGAGCTGGGGCTGGGGCTGGAGCTGGGGCTGGGGCTGGAGCTGGAGCAGGAGCTGGAGCTGGAGCTGGAGCTGGGACTGGAGCTGGGGCTGGGGCTGGTGTTGGTGCTGGGGCTGGAGCTGGTGCTGGAGCTGGTGCTGGTGCTGGTGCTGGTGCTGGGGCTGGAGCTGGAGCTGGAGCTGGAGCTGGGGATGGGGCTGGAGCTGGAGCTGGGGCTGGAGCTGGAGCTGGAGCTGGGGCTGGAGCTGGATCTGGGGCTGGTGTTGGTGCTGGAGCTGGAGCTGGGCTGGTGTTGGTGCTGGGGCTGGAGCTGGTGCTGGAGCTGGTGCTGGAGCTGGTGCTGGTGCTGGGGCTGGGGCTGGTGCTGGAGCTGGGGCTGGTGCTGGGGCTGGTGCTGGGGCTGGAGCTGGGCTGGAGCTGGAGCTGGGGCTGGAGCTGGGCTGGAGCTGGGCAGGGGCTGGGGCTGGGGCTGGTGCTGGTGCTGGTGCTGGTGCTGGTGCTGGTGCTGGGGCTGGTGCTGGGGCTGGGGCTGGGGCTGGTGCTGGTGCTGGAGCTGGGCTGGAGCTGGAGCTGGGGCTGGAGCTGGGCTGGAGCTGGGGCTGGGGCTGGGGCTGGGGCTGGGGCTGGGGCTGGTGCTGGTGCTGGGGCTGGGGCTGGGGCTGGGGCTGGTGCTGGGGCTGGAGCTGGGCTGGAGCTGGAGCTGGGGCTGGAGCTGGGCTGGAGCTGGGGCTGGGGCTGGGGCTGGGGCTGGTGCTGGTGCTGGT